GTCAGAACAGGAGAAAAAGAACTGGAGACCGTTTGAAGTGGTAGACCAGGTGAAGTGTAGAGAACGGAAATATACCACAGGAAGAGGGCCAGGGTCAGGTAAGCTGATCCCGAAGTGGGAGGGACCGTACGTCGTCACCGAGAGGCGCGGCGCAGTGTATACGATCCAGAAAGGAAACAAACAGAAACGCGTGAATGCCAGTGAACTCCAAAGGTGGTTCCAAGTGCGCCAAGAGGGCGAGCCACAAACACTGATAAAGAAGACGGCTGTACGGAGATCAGAAAGACTGCGACGACAGCTTATTAAAAGGGGGGACGAGTGTGGTGCTGTGCTGCGAACTACTTATAAGTAGTATATAACGTGGGTGTAAACGTAAAGTCTGGTAGCATAATATGGGGGGAAGATCAAGAAAGGAAGAGTTAGAAAACAATGGAATTTGTATGAAACGCATGAATAGTGACAATGGATTGATGTTTGATAACAGGAACAGTCCAGTTCCATAGGATGAACTGATCTTTTGCAAATGAACGATTTACGATATGGTTTTCCAATTTTACTGAGTAACTCTGTAATTTTCGTTAAATACGATTCGGTTGCCCCACCTGTGTTCTCATTCACTTCGCCCTTAAACCTTGGGTAGCTGCGTTTAGTCTCATCGTTCTCCAGTCGACCTGCCTGGCATGGTACATCCTTCACGAACATATGTTCCAGCCAGTGTAGCTCGGTTGGGTCATCACAATAGGCAAGCCCGACCACCACGTCAAGGTAGCAGCTACGGTCGCGCTTCAAATACAGATGTTACACCATTATCCAACCACCTTACAACATATGGAAATTACAGAAATTCCGTCGATCTGTGATTAGATGGAAACACTTTGACTTTTCGGGAACCCTTGGGGACTTCTGGAAATCCATCCCAACATTTGAAAACGAATGTTATGATCAAATTTTGATTTCTCACCGGCTTATTTACTAAAATGTTCATAAAGATCTACGTGAAGAACATGTCTAAGTTCACTCTTCAAAAGATTATCAAATTCTGACCATTCGATATGTAATGTACATTTCATAAAATATATTATGGTCAACTATTGATAAAACTCCGCCTCCAGATCTGCAGCCCAGAAAAATGAGAAGAATTGGGATTGGGACTTAAGACCTCAACTCGTAGAAAACTAACCCAGTAAAAACGCTAACCAGAAAACTGAATTCAAATCACATTCACACTACCCTGAGTGTTAGAAGGTCTTCATTCAGAAGAGATATGACATCTCATGATGAAAGCCGAATCGCTTCTGAAGTCAAGGAGCCTATGTCCCTTCTTTCATCGGGATATTGGAAAGCTCAATGAATTCAAAATAGACCTCAGCCAGACGTTCCAGGCTTTTCACTATCTGCTCGGCAGAAAGGAAACTACTATGGAGAACAAATGCAAAGGGATCAAGAAGGTAATACCTTCAACATGTCTTAAGGTTCTCGGCAACAAGAAGTACCACCACAAGAAATGGATCTCGGTTGGTACTCTTGATAAAATTGAAGAAAGGAGGAACAAGAAGGCGACAATCAACATCAGACAAATAAGAGCAGAGAAAGTCAAGGCACAAGCTGAATACACTGAAGCAGACGAGCAAGTGAATAGGAGCATCTGAATCGACAAACGTAAGTATGTGGAAGATCTTGCGACGATGGCAGAAAAAGCTGTAAGAAAAGGAAAGAGGAGTAAACTGTACGATAAAACACAGAAGCTCTCTGGAACTTATCGTAACCCAGAACGATCAGGGAAAATCAAGGCAAAGTAATCAACAACATTGAAGAACAGCGAAACAGATGAGTATAGCAATTCGAAGAACTCTTGAATCGACCAGTCCAATGAACCGATCCAACATCGACACAAGAACCACGGACCTCCCAATCTATGTTGGGCCATGAACAATTGAAGAGATCAGTTTGGCCACTAGACAAATCAAGAGAGGCAAAGCAGAGGGATTAGACAACAGTCAAGCACAGACAATCAAAGCAGACGTAGCAGTAACTGCAAAGATTCTGCACATTCTCTTCAACAAGATTTGGGATGAAGAACAAGTGTCGACAGGCTGGAAATGAGCATACCACATGAACATAACACAGAAAGGCTATATCAGCAATTGTGAGAAGCACACAGGCATCACTCTTCTCTCAATACCAAGCAAACTTCGAGATCAACAGGCTGGATTTCGTGAGGATCGATCGTGTGCCGACCGAAATGCGACATTACAGATTGTTGTGGAACAATCAGGTAAATGGAACTCATCACTCTACATCAACTTCGTTGACTACATGAAAGCATTTGATAGCGTGGACAGGACAACACTATGGGTTCTTCTTCCACACTATGGTGTGCCTGAGAAGATATTCAACATCATACGGAATTCTTATGATGGATTAAACTGCAAATTCATGCACGGAGAACAGCTCACAGACTCGTTCGAGGTGAAGAACGGTGTTAGGCAAGCTTACTTACCCTCCTACACTCTCTTTCTCCTGGTGATCAACCGAATTATGGAGACGTCAACATCTGAGGTGAAGCACGGGACACAGTGGATAGTCATGATGTAGCTGGACGATATGAACTTCACAGATGATTTGTCAATTCTACCGCACACGCAACAACAAATGCAAGAGAAGAAGACCAATGTAGCAGCAGCCTCAGCAGCTTCAGCAGCAGCAGCAGATCTCAACAACATAAAGGGTAAAGCGAGATTCTCCAATATAACACAACATGCACAAACCAAATCACTCTTGATGGAGATGCCTTCGAGGAGGACGTTTAAGCCTTTACGTATCTGGTCAGCACCATTGACAATCAAGGTAGATCGGATGTGGATGTGAGGGTGCGGATCGGCAAAGTAAGTGCAGCACTTCTACAATTGAAGAACTCTTGGAACTTAAAACAACGATCAACCAACACTAAAATCATAAGTTTCCATAGAAATAACGAGACAGTTCTATTGTATTGGGAGGAAACTTGGAGAACTATTGAAGCCATCATCCAGAACATCGAAGTGTTCATTACCATTTGTCTACACAAAGTACTTCGGAATCGCTATACAGACACTATCAGCAACAACCGGATTGCAGTGGAGGAAGAGATCAGGAAGAAACGGTGGAAGTGGATAGGATGCACTTTGAGGAAGGCACTCAACTGCATCACAAGCCAAGACCTCATTTGGAACTCTTAGGGTCGAAGGAAGAAACGATGTCCAAGGAACACATTACGCCAAAGAAAGAAGACAGACATGAGGAGAACGGCTAAAATGTGGACGCAGCTGGGAAGGAAGTTCGAGGACAGTGTAGGCTGGAGAAAACTGGTATGTTTTCCGTTCTCCTTTTGGGTACCAGGTGTAACTAATTAGGTAATTGACTATTGCAATAAATGGTTAGTATGGGCTGGCAGTCATCCAATGGCATTCAAACCGGAGCCTGTCACATATTCATCAGTCCAATTTATCACATCATACAAGAATAGAGAGATGACATTATTACAAAGATACCAGAGTTGTAGAAACATCAACGATATCAGTTAATATATGGTATAGACATTATGCTCTAGTTACTAAATAAGTCACGCTGGTCGTGTTCGTCTACAACTTAACAGCTGTTTAATATTTGTTGATTAGTAGTAAATAACCCTAATTAGAAACTTTAAAATTTATTTGTTCGACGAAGCACTACGATATCCGACTCGGATAGGAAGCAATATCAACAAATTTTGAGGTGGGAAGATGCATATTGTTTAGCGTTGACATTGAGGACTTATATTTTTCTTGTTCTAGACTCGTTGGCATCATGCACCTGGTAAAATATTGACAAATTCCCTATACATATAATAATCATGTGCTCATTAGTGATCAGCTGCATGATGTTACTTCTGGAGTTCCTGTGAAAAGTCGTGACTATTAGAGTACAACTAGTATTGTGTTGCATATTTATCCGTGACAGGTAACGGATGGTGGATTGCGTAAGGCTATGGGTTGATTGAATTTAAATATAAGCGCCTTTGTTTGATAGCTTAGTGGTCTATAAATTAAGTGTTTACGAACGAGACTGAAGTTTCAGGATCCAGTTTCCGCATGCGGACTTGAGGGTGCGCACTACCGGATGATACCATCCTAGAACGAGATGACCGTTCAAAGCTTTCAGTTTTCCATTGGTAGTTTAGTTAAGATTAGTTCCTGATTTCAACTGTTAAAAAGGAGAACCTTGTGAAATATAATGACCGAACTCTATCATGAGTTTCACTCCAAGTTTAAAATTTAAAACTATGAACAACTTTGTTTTCACCAGTAACCAGTAGCAAAATATATGGAATATCATGATTTAACCGATGCACAGTAGACTGAAATGTTTAGACAAGTTGTTTGTTTTATGTTATTTCTAGTGATTCATTCGATATAATTCAATGTAGTTAAACTCCTATTCCTGGTAAGATTATTGGTTGAAATAGACTCTCATAAAAACATATGTTAGGGATGATGTTATGCACAGCTACTAAGTTTTATTTTACTTATTACTTGTCATAGACATATGCTGACTTAGATACATTTCATTGCCACTAAATCAGTGACAACAATAATATCATAATACACATGTTCAGAGAGCAATTTCTAGGCTTTTTATCATCTAAAATTTGACTGATTGGTACGATTGAATCGTTTTTGATGGTACCACCTTGTTAGACTATCAAACATACTTGGAAGTTCAAATAGAAAACATATACCTTAGTAAAATATGTGACTGATTATGTGTGAGATGAGTGTAATTAATTATTAATTAGTTCTTTATCAATAAACAGCTGAGTTCAACTAGGTAATTTTATAATCTGGTGACTACAACAAAATGTCTTGTAGGAGTACTGTCATATTTATCATCTCACTTATACGCCTAAACACTTTAGACAAGCTACTTCTAAGTAGTTAAATATTATCAGTAAACAAATATCTGTGATGTTTATTTTGCATTAGAATGGTACATTCACAATCGATGGTCATCTTGCCCAGTTTGATACTGTAAAATTTGTCAATGGTGAATTGTATTATTTATCTGGTCCACTGAAACGTACAGAGGTAAGTTCAGAATGTTTAAATTCATTAACTAGTTTTGATAAAAAATGAAATTAATTTAAAGAACAGAAGGACTACCGGTTTTGAATGAAAATAATCATTTATTGTATTTTGTCATCTTCTCTTTAACTGACAATAAAATCAACAGATTAGTATCTGTACAGGCTGAACATGTCGAATATGAAGGGACCAATGTACAATAATTGTGTTTGTACTTCATTATAATTTGGCTACTGTCTGACTTACATGTAATATGGAATTTAAATCAAACAGTCTAATTAGATAATTAAATATTTTGAGTAAAATGCATAAACAGAGAAAATCATTTCATGAGATATGAATTTTCAAAAAGTAATCGAACAATGTTTTCAAGATAAGCAATCGTATTATTACCAAACAATATCAGATTTCAAAGATTATAAACATTAAATTTAAACAAAAGACAATTTGAAATGTTGATCTGTTCATGTTAATATTTGATTAAATTTAAATAGATTTTACAACTGTTCACTTTTTTTTTATCATTTCCACTGATAAATTTCGAATGACTCGTATCTAGTTGAAGTATACTATACTGAAAACCTTGAACAATTTCTTATCAGTCAGTCAGGAAACACTATTTAATTATAAAATATTGAATTCATAAAAAGCTGTAAAATTTACATTCAAATGTTGATTGCTTTTTTATGATTAACTAACCAATACACAATGAAGTATTCATTAGTCTAAAGGAAAAGGATTACTTCTACGGACTAAGAGTGTTGGTCTAGTGCTTTGAGTAATTTATAAAGTTTTCTTCACCAATATTACTTAAAAGTTTGTGTAAGGTAATTAAAGCTATGTGATGGGATTAAAAATTAGGATTAAAGTATTCGTATGGAAATGACGTTAGCTATGACACAATAATGTTCTGTTAATTTGTTATTTAAGGTTGATATTTATAATACACCAATGACTGAGCATCGATTCACACCCGGTACTTTGAAACAATATTGACACAAAAATCAATTTCAAAAATTTTAGGATACACGTTTTCACTTCACTATCAATCACCCACAAGCTATCTTGCACTGCTTCATCAATATATTGTGTAAGAATTCACCACACTCTGTCTTAATTCAAACTTGTGAAACTCAACCTCACCAGTGTAGTAGTATATGCTGTGAAGTAGTTAAAATAAGTTATTCTTGTAGTCTGTATGATAAATAATTTCAAACCAATATTTCCAAGCAAAAATTTTCTTAGAGAATCTAGTTCACATTAACGAACAACTGAGCACTATATCAGATGCCGTATTCACTAGTTCTTCATTTTGGTCGACTTTTATTGATCGAATTTCAATCACATTCAAATAATTTGATTCGACTAGCAAGAAGTCATAAGTGATTTTCTTCAATAGGATATGAATACGGTCTTCTGGAAAATAATAATCGTAAGTAAATGTCAATTAATTATTATCATTACTTCAATGACTAAAGAGATACGATTTTGGTTGTTAATGATGTCATTTAAAATTTCACTCAGATGAACGTTTTCCAAAAAAACATTATGAATAAGTTAATCAGATAAGTGGTAATTGTCATTAATTCTAGATTTAAGATTCCTTATTGACTGAACTTCACCAACTAAGATCTGGTTTTTATACAGCAATATCTGATGTGTATAAATTTCTTTGTGTGTGGTGGTGTTTTGTTCTCTGAGCTGGATGTTTTGGTTGTGGAGCTTTCATTGTTCTTCTGAACAACATCATCAGCAGAAACTTCAGATAGAAGTGAAGTATTCGAATTTCTCCACATCTGACCCGTAGCTTGTTCTGTTAGCCTCGATCTTGATTGGTTGCTGTTGCCCTGAAATCTGTCACTGTTCGTATCTTTGTATCGATTGTTTCTCCCTTTTGAACTGTTTCTTGATCCCATGTCACCTATGATTTTTCTGATTGCTTGATAGGTTGGATCAGCATCGATGTGTTTGTTGATTGCTGATTGACCTGAGTGCCAAGCTTCTAAAAATTCTCCAGTTTTCTTTGTGCTCCCCCTATCCACTATTTCCACATTGTTCCAATCGAAGGTATATCCATACTGGTCCGTATGTATGGATATAAGTGAAGAAATGTCGTAGCTTTAGACTACTAATTGGTCTTCACTTTGTCCTATGTAGTGCATTTCATAGTCTGAGCAATTTATTATGTAGATGATATTTGGTTTTTCTTCCTTTGTCATTTTATCCTGTGGTTAACATAGGATTGACTGGAGTCAAATTCGAATGCTTCACTTCTATCTGAAGTTCGCGATGAGAAGGACAACGAAAACTTCACGACCAAAATATCCAGCTCAGAGAACGAAACACCACCACAATCTTCCACCTGAGCTACAAATTTTCTCCAACATCTCAGTTACTGAATTTATTCCTAATAATAGCGTAAATAGTGAGTCTTTGAATTATCCCACTGTTCATACTCAGAACTGAATTTCGATCAATTACTCTTGAAAAATGCTCATCCTATTTTGGTTATCTTGAAAATGTTGTCTAATCCCGAAAGTTTGAGAATAAACGAGTTATGGTAATTAGTGGAATTCAAGATGCTTCTTTCGTCATATTTGCTACTCGTTAGTCCAGCTTATGAGTCACAAATAAGATGAAATAAACGTGCTGAATTCCATTGATAGACATAATTTATGATCCTACTTGTCGAAGAATCGAATTAACATCTTTTAAATTAATTAGCATCACCATTCTTTCTTTCTTGTTGTTGTTAATATTTCAGTATATTGACAAGTCAAACAATTATACTATCGCAGTGATAACCATATCCATTTTAATTATATGTGGATTAGCTTCATTGATTTTATATAAAGGAATACAATGGTATAAAATTACAAGTATGAGGCAATTTCATCGTGTAAGTCCTAGTAGTATTGTGATAGTTTTTTTGTTAAAATAGTACTAATAAAATAGTACTATTGATTATATGCAAGTTTAACTTATCACAATTTGGTTTAATTGAAAGTCTGGGAGCAATGGACTTCTTTTTCGTCCTGGAATGAGACTCTTCGACATACATACTCGTGAAACCTGCTAGGATTGATTCAGGAATTTTTAAGTCTGTTCAACGAAATCATAATATTCGTCCAACCAGTCACTCATCACAAGAGATTTCTGAAGATCCAATGAAAAGTAGTGACTACCCTCAGCAACAATGCAACCATGTTCATGATGTGGTTTTCCCCCTCGAAATGCAAAGTGTCGCTTCAAGATTGACCTGCGTTGGCACTTGAACTATTGGTTGCGAGAGAAACATTTGAACGTATTGACCGCTTCACTTATCTGGAGAGTTTGATCAGAGCTGATGGCCTGGTGACTGACGAAATCTCATCACGGATAAAGAATGCCTGATTGGCGTTCGCCAACTTACCTCACTTTGGCGTTGGCGAGATTTCAATCTGCTAACTAAAGGACGAGTGTACTGTGCAACAGCACGCTCCGTCCTACATCACGGATGCAAAACTTGGCCAGTCAGAGTAGAAGAAATTCGTAGGTTACTTGTATTCCATTATGGGTTTCTTCGAAGCACTGTTCGTGTATTCTGGGAAAAATCGAGTAAGCAATACTAGTATTAAGATAAGAATACAAGGCGAGGATGGTAAATCGATTGATGAAGTATTGAAACTTCAACAGATGAGGTGGTTGGGACATGTTTTATGTATGCCTAATCATCGACTGCCTCGACGATTGATGCTTTGTGATGTAGGGGTAGGGTGGAAGAAAGCTAGTGGCTGCTAAGCAAAAACATGACAAATTTATGAAGTCACGGACAACTGGAATGATTCATGTCGGTATTTATGGACTACCTGGTTGGCGTTCGTGAGATGATAGAAATCGATGGTTAGAGACCCTAAAATAACATGGTTCATAACCGTTTGCAATGGCGCACGTGCATTCTTTCTTTGTGTCCTCTCAAATCCTAACCTTCAGAGTTCCTCATCACATTTATCTTTCTTTTTAAGTTTATTTCACTAGATTCTACTTGTTGTATAATATGTTCGAACCCTAATCTCTCGGATGACTGGTAATACTCCTACTACCTCTACTTCTATCAGATTTGAATTGACGATTGCTTCTATGAGCTAATATAGTATGGAAACCTGAAATGATATACGTACGTACAAAGTTCAACGTTGTAACTGACTGACTGACTGAGTCTCGCCCACTGAACTACTAATTCTGATAATGAAGTGTTCGTAGTAATATTTGGGATCTTATACTAAACTTCTGAGCTGCTGAGTAGTACTCACAGTAGGGCAAACCAGTTATCCGTTGATCTCTGATTCTCACTGGTACCCCAAATGAGGTCATTCTGTAACCAATGCAATTCGTAAATCAAACTACAAAAGACTCCTTCAGGCAAACTCTTTAGGACTGTTGTTACTTATCTATATACGATCTGCATATGTTGAGGCAATTTCTAATGACACACAGTTCTGACTACCAGTTTGAGGCTATTAGGGAAGAGGAATATTATGTGTAGAGGAATAATTACATAACTTAGCAACCACGTCAATACTTACTGATCTATTTCTTTGGGAGCTACACATATTTTGAGTGTTACTATGCATATGATCCCATCAAAAACACACCAGAACGTAGATAATAATTGTCAATGATTTTAATAACTGTTTTATTTCTACTCTTTTTTCCCTATCCTCCCATTTTTGTTTTTTCAGCTTCCTAGACAAGTTTTTGTACATCGAGCATTTTGGAAACAACAAACTGATGACGTCCTTGTAGAAGAAACTGAAGATCACGCCAGTTCGTAGAAATTTGAACAGTTACACGAGGAATAATTAATTTACTACTGACAGATATAACAACTACTACTATATAAAGTCAATGACAACAACAATGTTCAGTTTTCCGATAACGTCTAAACATATTTTTCAGTTGTTTTCTATGTTTCACCTCAAATTATTACTGTATGAATTTTTTTTCTATTTTGTTCTAATGAATCCATTTCAGATGGTGTTCAGATTTAAAAATTTGCCAACTGACTAAATTTGAAATAATATACCAGTGACTGAAAATAAATTTTAAATTCTAAACTACATACCCAATACTAAGGATTTTTTTCCTACTTAGTCTATCGATTAATAGATAAGCTAGCGTATCAGTCGAGTATTCAGTCCATTCGCAATACAGTAGTCTATCATTAAAAATAGTAAAACTTTAACTTTCCAATAAAGGGTGTTAATTATTCTTACTACTCGAAATGGGAAGTAATTAACGGTACATAATTGTTAGTATAATGTTATGTGTTCATATGGAAAGTAATTTTCATTAAAATCTGACATCAGCTTAAGATCTAAATGAAAATCATGAAATGGTAGATAACTGCTGTGTCCTAATCTTCAATTTCTGCGTGTTACTTGGCAGAATTTTATTGAGATAAGAAGAATACTTATCACTATTCATTAACCAAACAGTTGTAAATATCTCAATCTTATATAAGGTCAGTTACTGCCTGATTAACATAGTGTTAATCTCCGACTGCGAAGCTCAGTTCTAATCGCCTAGCAAACATCAATTTCCGTAAGATTTCAGGTTCGTCTCCCTGATAAATATCAACTAATAGAAAACCTAAATCTAGGTTTTCCTGCCTACTAATTCCAGCTACCTGATTCCTCATTTTCAAAGTGCTTTTTATTATATCGGTGAACCCAAGATCTTTTCCTCATTGTTGACAAAATTTTAGGGAGGATGAAAAGCTTACAGATCACTGATGATATCCATTACCAATTCTTTACCTGCAAATTGAAGAAAATTTATCTACCCTGAATAGTGAAGCATAATACAGGCTGTCTTGAGAAGTGTTAATACTACTCAACGACTGTTATCGTGAATATAAAGTCTATGACTATACGAAATCTGATGTAATTCAGAATATCGTCTCTTAATAATTAATTAGCTGAAAACATAACTTAAATTAGCCAGATTCATATAATACAACTGCAAACTGACTGACATCAGAGGTATAAGTTTCTAAGAAGAACATAATCTACAATTTATAAGCATATATATGTATATATCGATGGTGTCCACGTTCGGAATTTCATCAATATGTACATGAATCGAATCAATTACGAGATCCTAGGTGTTATCTATGATATAAAATAACAGAGTGTAATGCATATCATAAAACTAACCGGTCATTGTCCACAAAATTTAAACTGCTCTCATATTCCATTTATAAATTTTGAAACCATCATCTCTTATTTCTCAAAAAGAAATCTATTAAGGCGTAAAATTACGAGAGCTAACATAGTGATGTTTCTCGAGTTTCTTCGTAATTTAGTTTGTAATATTATGGTAAAACATGTTATGAAAGCGACTATTCGTAATTGTTTGAGCGGCATCATCAATATTTTTTCCAACAAAAAGATGTATAGCAATGAATGCACATATGGGAAATAGGTGGACGTAAATTTGCAAACATTGCTGTGTCCAATATACACAAATGTCATTTAACGTTTTGTCATGCATTGAATTTTTCACTTGTTAACATGACTTTAAACAATTCGTACAATATTCCCTATGGATAGTTTAATCGAAACCTCGAAAACTAACCCTTGTTAAAATACTGATTAGTTGATGCTGTCAACACATCACTCGTGTCAACATTTCTAAATGTCAGTGCTGACAGACAATATTTTTTCTGCACCTTGATTCAGCGTTGAAAATAATTATTAAAGCTACTGACATTCTAATGAGAAACGAGTAGGGCTTATAAATGATTAAATCAACAAAAATATCTTTTAGCTAACCACAGGCTATTTTGGAGAAGAAGCATTTAGTAAAGCACAGCACAGCTATCAGGACACAATAGTTGTTTCTGCGAGTTCTAGTTGTTTCAGTCCAGTAATGGATGAATATTAGTGTACAACATAGCTATGATTGACTATTCCTTTCTTTGTTTGTGGTTTTCTTGTGCATCCACCGAATGGACGGTGGTGTAACCTGTCTGTCATTTTCAATTTATGGGTCCCTTGCTTATGTAGATTGTCGATGCTACAGATGGCTTGTTTGAAGATGCCGTTTTATTCATCCGATCGTCTCATTTGTTTTGTTGCATTGATCTAGTGAGCATTTATTGGACTACTGCATTCGTTTTTGTTCATATATTCTCATATGTTTATTTATTTCTTTAATCATATCAAATAGATGATCACAGTTTTCATCTACGCATTGGTAGATAAGTTGACATTTTCCAATTAGTTGCAGTTTGAATCCTTAAGGTATGGTAATTTTGATATCATTTGAGTTGGTCCATTCAGGTGGGAGCTTTTCATCTAGGTTTGCAATATTTAGATTAAGCTACCTGATATTGTTCTTATTGTGGGCGTTTTTGTTGTGATTTGGATCTTATATGTGAATTGATAAAGACCTCCCCACAAAGTTATTTAGTTCTTTGTGTGCACTATGCAACAGTTTGGTTGCTAAGTTAGACAGCTAATTGTGAACTTGGTCAATACTGACTTGTTTTTGTCGTGCAAGCCAAAAATTATTCGCCTGGCGGAATAAAGGAGCACCATGAGTTTTGTCTTGTCTTTTTTCCCTTAAACATTGGATTGAAGTCTATTGGTTAAAATGGTGATTATTGAAGAACTTACTGGAGCATCTCGCATATATTTTGTAGTACTATCATTGTACGGTTTGTAGGCATTTGTATGCTCGGGCATTATTTACCGCCTAAGCACAGGCATTCAACTGACTTTGTCTACTAACTGTCTAAATTATTCGATAGCTATATCAACTATATGTATTTGTAATAAAGTCGAGAATTCTATCCATCGTTATATATTTCTGAATAATGGAAAAATTGTGGCTACGACTAGCGTTTTGTAGTAATCGTCGTCAGGACAGCAATATTCGAATGTCCTATTATAGTGACAGCATGGGTAGTTGATGGATTTGTTCTGAATCCAAAATCAATGGCTGATAGAGGATAGTCAGTTAGCGTGTTTATTGGTTCCTATGCAACCGTAACATATATCTTTTCAATTTTGCATATATTATAATTATATAATAATAATATAATAATTATAATATATTTGATGTGTGCTGATGACATCGGCATTTATCCATTGATATAATGAATCAGTCATTGCTAGACCACGAGTGGGAGCCTGAAAGCACTGAATGGCCACCTTATCCTAATATGGGACTCAGCAGCAGTGCGCATTCACGACGTCATGACTCCAGATTTTAGATCATGATCCAGCATTGATCGATTCATGATTTCAGGGAAACTCAACAATCTCTCAAACCCTATAACGACATTTATCCAGTTGTCTGGGATGCTGTTTGGATCTATCGCTATATTGTTTATGATACGTAAGAGTGAGATATTTAGTTTCAGTCCACAGAGTTTTATCATTCCAGACAGACAGACAGATAAAACTCAGAACTTCGTACATAAGTACATCAGTTCAGGTTGCCATCAGCACAGAGATGCAACTGTCAGTTCAAATCCAAAAGTGATAGCAATAATAGAAGTATTAGCAGTAATGGAGAAGATTAGAGAGCGAAGATATGATTCGAGAAGTATAATTCAGTAAGACAAATTTAGAAGGAGAAAGGTAGAGATTATGAAGAGTTCAGAAGGTTAGAATTTCATAGAACACAAAGAGTGGATGCACCTGCGCCATTGCAAACGATTCTGAGCCATGTCACTCAAGGTCTCTAACCATCGTTGACTTTCGTCTCGCGGACCCCAACCAGGTAGTCTACATCTACCAACATGACTCAGCCCACTTGTCAGTGACTTCATGGATTTGTGCCATGTTTTTGTTCGGCCACCCCTAGCGTTCTTCCAACCTACTCCTACATCTGAAAACATAGCTCGTCGCGGTGTTCGGGCATACGTAATACATGTCCCAACCACCTCAACTGATGAAGTTTCACTACTTCATCTGTTGATATGCCATCCCTACCTAGAACTCGTTTCCGAACAACAGCATTGCTTACTCGGTTGTCCCATGATACACGAGCAATGCTTTGGAGACAACGATGATCGAAGAATAGTAACCAACGAATGTCCTCTACTCATAACGGCCAAGTCTCGCATCCGTACAGTAGGACGGAGCGAACTGCTGCACAGTACACTCTCCCTTTAGTCAGCAAATGGATATCGTGCGTGCTCCATAAGTGACGCAGTTTGGCAAAAGCCAATAGATCCTTCTGTATCCGAGTTGAGATTTCGTCAGTCACCAGGCCATCAGCGCTGATCAGACTCTCCAGTTACGTGAAGCGGTCTGCACGTTCGACTACTTCACTCCCTATCACTAGTTCAGGTCCCGATTTTTTCATTGCGGTTGCGCACCTTTTGGGCTTTTATTTATTGAATAGAGCTTTCGAGTTTATTGATTGTTAGAGGAGTCTTTGTTATTTGGTTCTTCAGGTTCGTGTTGTTTGCGATTGCTAGAATTTCTCAGTCAAATAATGACGGAAGTGTTGTATTAAAGTTCGACGACTTATCAGTGTTGTCTTTTGGTTATTATAGAACTGACTTTTGTATGGTGGTCACCTTCTACAGCTCACTTTCTTCAAAGAAAGTACTGAGTTCTTTTGTTTTACTCAGAATATATTACGTTCTTCGATTTTCTTACCATTCTATTAACCATTCTGTCGACTTGCATGCAATTTCTTCCGTTAGGTTGTTTAATAATTATAATCTTAGCTCCTTTTTTGCTTTATTTCACCACTTTGTCAGTTGCTCATGCGATCCTGCCAGTATTCGGTAACTTACTTCTTCGAGGGGCCCATTCGTATTCCGTTTTAATTACTGTATTCTTCACGAGTTGGAGGTCATTATTTGTACTTATTAATGTTCACATTCGATTGTATAGGTTTCCGTTAATAGTTACATCGGACGTTTCGTCGTGTTCCGTTTCATCTGAGGCGTGCATTCGCTTTGGTACCTGCATTTGGCAGGTTTTCTCAGCTTCAGTATTGATGGATTGTATGTGCACCATTGGTTTGGAATCTGGGTTTACCAACTGTCCTGGGTAAATCATCCGAATCTAGTTTCATCACACGCAGGAAATTCAGTTTTCATCGTTTGAATTTCGTGAACGACACTCTCTTTAGGAGAAGGTAGTCAGTAAGTTTTTCCTGTCAGTAGCTATACACGTGTGGCCATTTCGGGAGGTAAGGAAATCTCTTCCAAACTTCGGCCATACCAGTGTATTTCAGCGCATTTACAAATATACTTGAGGGTCTCGGAGCTACAAAGAAAAGTTAACTTGAATAATATATACTCTGAAAGACCGAGTTATCTACGTTGTAAATGTCACAACCACCACTGCAATATATAAAACGTCGGTCCATGAATGACCATGTTTATTCATATATTCATATTCATATATTTATACTACTGAAATTATGTTTAAGTACAATTGCAGTTTTGTTAACAATTTCCAAAAATTAGCGAACTTCGCTCAATGGTAGAACATAGCTTATATCCACATCTAACGGGTTGAGATTTTCATTAATTTCTAAATTTCTGGCCTGGAAAAATAGAAAAATGTGATGGGGAATTCAGAAAACATTGTCAAAGTTGACATCAAAAGTAAGACTGTGCATGGAATGATCATTTCGAAACTAATTGAACGGTTAGATAGTCTTTAGTATTAATGTGGATCGACGTGTGATAACTTGGTGAAACTACATTTTCACCGACCAGCCAATCAAGATCAATTTAAAGAAATTTAGTTTCTTGTATGAAATTCAAAATCTTGTCTCTGATAGTATTCGTCTTGAGAAGGGTTTTGTAGGAGTAACTAGTACCTAAATTATTGGAGATTTATGAGAAAATATTTAGTACGATATGATACAGTGAAAATGACATCATTTGAAAGAGAAATCATGCAAATTGTCAACTCTTATCAACAGTGATTTTGTTCAAACTGTATATCACTTAGGATTCGTCCTATTTTTATCTTTTAATCCATTGAGTGGGAAATTCTATTGGAAAATGTCAGTTATATACCTATTCAAAATTTCAGCTTATATATTCATTTCTGGTTCTGGAGGGCAATCGTAAATATACCAACTATTTGTGCACATTGGATGTTTATACAGTAAATGCCGGCGACAATCCATAAAACATCTAGAAATTACATAACGCTGACATGTTTAGATTCCATTATGTTTTTAGAAAAATCCTTGATTTAATCGATTTTTGTACTAGTTGACTAATTGGTGTAGGTCACACGTCAGGATTGTCGTTAGATTTTTCCAAAGGTAGTAGTTTATCATAGTTTTCTGCCCGACTGACTGGTATTAAGATTATTCATTAATTTCAAGCAGTTAATTTAAAGCGACTAATGATGTACTATGTAAAAATGATTGTTGAGATTGATGAGTACGTACTTGAAGAGCAATATCTCCATAAATGGTTCCTTTTGTGTAAACTTGAATAAAACTATCGCTTGAATAATTCCTTGGTTTTCCTCTATCAAATATAAACTCCGTAGCGAAATATACACGTTTTATTTTAGTTCCCGATTCTAATTGATCGCCTCTCAAAAAGAATTGAAAATGTTGCATGTCAAATAGTCCTAAAAATGACAAATTCAACTTCATACAATATTCATTGAAATAAACAAATAGGGATTTGATAATCAAGAGGTATAATCTTCCAGATAATATGTACGAAATGAAAAATCTTATAGAAATTAGAAGTCTGAAATTAAGAAATGCTCATTTTGACAGTGGTTCTCTGGCTGATGTATTTATTGGTTTTTTCTTTGTATTATGATTGATTCATTACTGAGTAATAATCAACATTCTATTTGTCTAGATCTTAGTACTAATCAAATTAGGCTTATTAAACTGAAGTTTGGCAGCCATGTAAATGTTGATATCCCATGTGGTTGAAACTAGTCAGCAGGAAACCCGAAAACCAGCTTTCATGCCTAGTTGGCAGCTTTTGACGAGGTGTATTTGCAATTTTAAGAAAGCCGATGATCAGTGTCGAGCTCTAATCCATGTAATCCAGTGTCACATCCCTAGACATCATTGCTGAGATATTCGAATCATATCTGACTTCCTGTATGGCTGAGAAATTTAAAAATATTAAAATACTGAGCGGTGACCAATTTTATGTTGGTTTAGTCCTCAGTGCTGATTGAATTACAACGATCTAGAGTATCTAGAAGACTGATTGCATCCATTTACCTAGACAGCGATAAAATTGATAAGTTACTTTGTTTATGGTCTTAATGAAATAATTCATGAACGCTTTTGTGTTTTTTAATTTACTGATGCAACTATTGAGATAAACCTGTTTTGTTACTGTGAACTATCTTATACCCATGTACATTCCCAGTAGTTTACGGTAGAAAGTACTACTGTGGTGCTGTGGTGCGAACTACTTATAAGTAGTATATGACGTGAGCGTCAACGTAATGTCTGGCAGCCGAAGATGGGGCAAGATCAAGTAAGGAAGAGTTAGAAAACAATGGAATTTGTATGAAACGCATGAATAGTGACAATGGATTGATGTTTGATAACAGGAACAGTCCAGTTCCATAGGATGAACTGTTATTTTGCAAATGAACGATTTCCGATATGGTTTTCCGATTTTACTGAGTAACTCTGTAATTTTCGTTAAATATAATCCGGTTGCCCCACCTATGTTCTCGTTCACTACACTACTACAACGGAAGTTTGCTATTTGCTATTCCATGTCTATTGAAATGAAGATTATTTTTCGGTTGGTAGACTTCAGCAATCATTACATTCGGATAAGCTTATCAAGTACAAGTATATCCAGTGCCTATGATCACATTTAATTTTAAAGTTGGACAGCACATAAAAATCTAAAAACTACGCATAATATTGGTTGAAGTCGATAATGCCCATACTCAATGTCCCAACCAACTTATGTTTTGTTTGCTTCAGAAGAAAAAATGGTGTTTGTGTGTGCATTATAATTCTGTATGGCAATTAAACTATCCTACTCATTTCAAACCACTTTTTTTACATAGTGAGTTTGGTATAACATGCAAAGCATGTATCATAATAACTGATACGGATAGCAAACCACACCCTATATACACCAATATATATATGACAAATTAATTTAATCAACTTTAAATGATTGATTGATTGAATGAATGAATGAATGAATGAAATGCACAATTTACCTAATACATGATTACCATAATTCTTTGAAATTTTTAAATGTCTTGCATATCGTGGAATCACATATAACATACGATAGTTTTCATTCGCCACTGGAACTAGAATCAATTACAAAGAGATCAATTAGAAATGGAGAATTTTTTTTGAGACTATCAAAATGTCTGAAAGGAAAAATTTGTTTTATACTCTGAAAACGTTCATTGAATTAGGAGATAGATAATTGATACATAGGGTTAACCAAAAAGTGCCAAATATGAAAATCACTTCATATCAATCAAAAATCTCTTAATGATAATGAAAACGGAATTTGAGAAAAATCTGTAAACCTTGTTTAATGGTTCTAATGATGAATAAATTTTCAAGCATTTGAAATTATGTAAAAACACAATTCTCTGTATGAATGTAACCAACTAAAACAGCCCTATTCTCTTAACCTGAAATCTGATCAACAGAATGACTTATTTTTTTAAGGTTGAGAAATTACAACAGCTCAATTCTCCTCATCCTTTACATTGATCCGATTGTTTAGAAAGACAATGAAAGCTTCATGAAAGGGAATACAACACTTTTTTCAAAATTTCTCATTCTTAACTACAAGTATTTTGTTTCAATAATTCACAATAAGGCAAAATAAAAATGTTCACTTAAGGTTATGGAAATACCGTTGTTAGTAAAATGGAATGTTCTGCTATTATAGGTAGAGTTTGATGCTTCCCTAGAAAAAATAGTGATAACAATTCAATACTACTAGTGTTATGTATCCTATTTGCAACGAAGCTTATAGGTAGAATTCACTGCTGCCGTGAATTTATGGATGAAGTGGAGAGTGTTAGGTTCGGACGCATGGTGCGATAAGAGAAGATAAAGAAGTCGTTTGGAAGAAGATGGCCGAGAATACGTCTGTTATGCAAATAAATATTTCATAGCACTATTACTAGTACTATTAATATTACTGTTACTACTACTACTACTGTTGTGCACGAAAATCCAGGTGAGGACATCAACAATATATTTGAGAGAATATTACAGAGTTGTTAGGCATATTTACAAAACCTTCCCGTGAAACATTAATTGCAAATCAATCCTTATTTGTTTCAGATTTCAGTGTTCATACATTTAGACTGTTCATACTTCAGCTCACTTTACGTTACCTACAAATCGCCTTCTGTTTCATTCTTTCCATCTCAATCTTTTGCTATCAGATGTTTTATTTCCATCTGATATCATATACTACTTATGTGAACATAAGTAGCGGACACCACACTACTACTACTACTAATGTAGTGAAGGAAAACACAGGTGAGGGCAACCGAATTGTATTTAACGAAAATTACAGAGTTACTCAGTAAAATAGGAAAACCATATCGTAACCGTTAATTTGCAAATCTTCAATCCATCATCAATCCAATGTCTGACATTTCACTATTCATGCATTTCATGCAAATTCCATTGTGTTCCCACTCTTTCTTTCTTGATCTTCCCCCATCTTCTGCTGCCAGACATTACGTTTACACTCGCGTCATATACTACTTATAAGTTGCGCGCACCACACTACAACTACATTGTTTCAGATAAGCAATGTTCAGGTCATCTAGCTTCTTGTTAATAAACGGTAGTTCCAACTGGTAAGATGAACCAAGATAAAAAATCCTCAAGTCATATTTCCACAGTGATTTTTCTATTAACTCACCGGCTTTTATCACCTTTAGTTTCTTAATTTTCTTGTATTTCAAGGTAAATTAATGTTCCTCTGTACTAAAAGTTATTGCTTTGCAATTAAGATTTATCTGACTTTCTTAAATATCAGTCATTTTTCTATAGTCTTGCGTTCTTCCGGGATTCCATAGCGTTCAGGATAACTGTGAAACAGTTATGCCTTTCACGTAATCTATTCAACACACATTAGTACCCATTCCTGTGAGAAGAATCTCAGTTATTTATAACCATAACTTATAATAGGCCTGATTCCGAGTCAAAAAAGTTTTATAAAGAAAAAATACTTACGAACTCGTCGAATTCTATGGTGAATAAGGCTACAGGTTGAATTATTCCCCTGACAAACTCCACATTGATCTCTTCTAGCAGTGCCATTCACTTGACCGAGACAATCGAAATTCTATTCAGAAAAATATCATCAAAGCTTATAAAGCTGGTATGGAATTTAAGTAACTGTTCAATTATGAAATGGTACGTTTCATTGCCTTTTTCAAGAACTGATCTCTGCTAGATCTTTTTTTTCCTTTTTCGGAGATCAGTGTTTTTTACACGTTTAAAATCATCAATCAATCACTGTTAGACCAACATTAAAAACCTGGAGACACTGAACGGCCGTTTTATCCTAGTATGGGACTCATCAGCAGTGCACATCCACAACCCTACATCTGGGGATCATACGCATGCATTGTTGAGATCTTCGAACAATAGTGTTGTAACTGTTTTTAGGTTGCGTCACTCAAATCGAAATTGTATTCATTCCACATAAATCTTTTGTTTAAGCTTCTAAACAATCTTCTAAGAACCTTTATATCTTTAAACAGCGATACTGAGAATGGTCCGGAACATCTAATTGGAAATATTATTTGATGTTATCTATCCATCACTTAAAGATAACTTGAAATTATCTTGAAGATTTCACTGCTTTAATCGTGAACAGTTTTTAACTCTTCTGAACAGCATAACCAGTACAGACCTCAAATCGAAGTGAGCTTTAACGATTTACCTATTACTAGCGTAGATTATTAACGCTGAACTGTTGCTGTATGACAGTTATCCAGCCTATTCGAATTCCGGTTCATTGCAATGCGTTAAAACCACACAGCAAACAAGAATCCATACCTTAATTATTCTTGCCAATATAAAACGTTAACAAAGTCTGACAAAATGTCATCATAAAAAATATCAACTGCGAAAAATTACGAATGTGTTGCATGACTCTAGAGTCATTACACAAATGGATGCATGTACCTGAGACACTTCTATTTAAAACACTGAACTATTTCCAAACTTTCTAAATTTAACTGACAATCAGTTATTATCATCATCACTTACAATACAAACGGATTGTATACAACGAGCATCTGGATTATCATATGTGCATGGTGTTGAATCTCTAACTGACATTGATACATCAAGAATTTGACCATTTTGTAATGAGTAACAAGCTAAACTACATGGTCCTTGTGGAATATGAAACAGTATTTAGAGAAATAACAAAGAAAAAAACAATACATCTAATTAAATATGAAATGAAGCCTTAAATCACAATGAATTATAATTAAAACAATTAGTCCCTTTTATAAATTTTGATAGAACAGTGAGAAGACGTAATTCATCTGAAAAATGTGATGTATTTGCGCTCTACATTTCGAAAAATCTTGTCAAAAAGAGACTAAAAGCAATCATAGAGAAAACATACAACGCTGCTAAACTGATTATTATTGAAAAGACCAAGCCCGTGAATTCACATACACCTAAACGGTGCTCGAATGATTACATCACATCCCATTGCATTTATCAATTTACATGTTTGTGTGGACACACATACACATAGGGAGGAGTAATCGGACTTTGCAGTCAAGGCTTATGGAACAAGTTCCTAATTGGCTTCAAAATCAGTTAACGTCAGATGAGCCGATTAGCGTTAGAAATAGAAAACCATGTTCATCGATCGCCAAACACATAATTGAGACAGGGCATAAGATTGACATCAAGATAGCCTTCAAAACATTGTATAGAAATGTTGAAGGACGAATTTTGATGTTTATGGAGGCCTTGGCTATTAGAAAATTAAAACCCTCCTTTGTGTGCAGAAACAATTTGTCATAACCTTGAATTTACCAGGTAATCGTTAAGCCTAGGGTAATGTGACAATTTTCCTACCCTTTCTTATTACTTTCATATTACCTTAATTTTCTCTCTCCTTTATTTACAATTATCATCACCTTATGTCTATTTGAACTTTTATTTAATTGACCATTTATTCATCTTCATATAAAATGCCTTGACAAGTAAATATGTGTGACCAGATTGTTCGAAATGTATGGAGCAAATACATCACATTTTTCGGATGAATTACGTTTTCTCACTGTTCTATCAGAATTATAATAAGTTTGAAGGTTGTAAGTAACCATAAATAGCAAAGAGTAATAAATTGACGAGTCAATCAGATTCACCTGCACTCATGTGTCTGTTGTGAATTATTTGTGGTCAACTTGATTACGATAGTTTATCTGTGCCCATGTGCCTATAGGTACTAAATGCAATGACTAGTATTTTCTGAAATTCAACTATAGGAATTCATATTCAGTCGTTATATTTTCAGAACATATTCAATTGCATAGAATATTAATGTTTACACATAGGACTCGTTTCCGACAAAGTAAGTTTTATCCTATTTGCCTACTCCCTTAAAAGACAATCAGGTATCTTATAAATATGATTTTCGGTGTCAGTGTGTCAATAATACCTGTTTTTCGTGTTTACTATTGGTAATCGTAGGTGATGGGAGGTACATTTGAATCTTCTATATTAGTTCGCTACAATGCATGTTTCTCGATAATTAATTGTTTCCGCACACTGAAACTGATCCCTTCTCTAAAGGCTATACTTAAAGCTGTGCACTTAGGTTTTTTTAGTAAAGCCATTGGTATGATCTGCTGAAATAACAGATCTCCAATGTACTCTGGTTTTTAATGATTGTCTAACTGGTACCAGTCTGTTATATGAAATTCCAACGAATAATTAAATATGATATTGTTTCATGTAAAAAATATTATAGACATAACTTACTTTCAGAAATAATATGAGGTAACCATTTATGATATATTCCTCTTAATTTGAAATTATTGAATCGTGAACACTGGGCTTCTCGATAATCTATGTGTTTTGAATAATCATTCTAAAAATCAATTATTGTATATGAAGTAAATGTTGATGAATTTTTATTTTTACAACTAAACAACCAACGTTCATTTAATGCCAATTATTTTGATTGATTATGTTATGTTCAATTCAATATTTTATCAATTATATGTTTTAGGTGTATATTCTGTTTACACTCAGTCATTTAATTTTACACATAACTCTACCAATTAGGAATAATAACGATATCAGAAAGTGGTGTTTCTATAAAATACAAACTAATGAGTAATTTATTCAACGATGATAATCCTATAAGACTCAATGATCATTCTGATTTATCCGGAAACTGATTAATTTTGGAATGATACAACTGGATGCCCACCAGGTGATTCTAATGACTGAATGTTTATATAGAGTGACATTTGAATTGCTGTGTGCTTGTTATTTCCCTTATTCCTTGGGAGTATTACTGTAAATATCCATTAGTTTAATGCATTTTCGACATATGCGCTCAATACGTCTAAGTGCACACTTTTCCTTACTCAATATAATACGGCCTAAGAAACAAATTATTTTTCTTTGTAACTTTGTTCAAACGCCAATCTAAACTACAGACAGAGCGATGACTAGAGTGCATTGTCATTGAAAGATAATCACGATACAAGCTACTGATTTTTGTATTCATCTTAAAACAATCATAACAGATTACATCATTTATACAACTAATATGATTGCTGGACATCAAATTTATTGGAGTATATAATGGGACAATTTCAAACATTACGCATTGATCTAGAGATGAGTATGAAGAATAAATGTTAACCACTGTTGTTTTAATTTTATTCATGTTCTCCATCAGATTTGAAACTCTTAAGTTCGATTGTTGTTGAACATGTTGATGGTCATCGTTGAAGAGTTTCATACCAGAATGAAGCATCTGTTCAGTGCTTCTTGCTTTCGAATAGTAGCCTAACTGAGATCAATCTACGATAATAAAGTCTACAAACTGAAGAAATTTCCATGAAACTGCTTCGACTAATCTATTTACTTTTACTGATTCTTGCTCTTTTTTACTCGATTAATTGACTAGTCATTTCCTACCAATAATTGATTTCGCTTTGAATTAAAAATGTGATAAAAATAATTACAAAATTCTTTATTCATATTGATGTATTTGTAAAGATAACGACTTACTGTATTTTTACCGCATAATTCATAGTCAAAAGCATTTTCATTATCATTGAATTCACATGTGTTTTTATGTCTTCAGTAATTCAACAACATAAGAAAAGTTACATTTTAAAAAGGAAATTCAAAAAGTTTACAATAACTGACACTATTCATAGCTTATTCAATGCTCAATAAGTAGGCTGTATGCAGCAGTGTAAATTACCCCGGGTTAAATGTGCATCAGCCTAGTAAACTAACAGATTGATAACTCAACATGCTGAACAGAACACCTTTACTGAGCATTAAAAATTTTACAGTTAAACTCTAAACAAACAATGACATAATTCAGTATAACTCAATTGGCTAATGTATCATTCAAATATTTCAAATTTGAAACTTTTCTCTAGATGACGGTGTAAAGGAGATTAATCACTCCATACAGTTAACATATCCTCTGAGGGAAATTAGTACTATCTTACAATTTACGCTTATTCTAGAGCACAAAGTTAGTAATATCGCTAATAATGAATGAATTACCATTGATCTGTGAAATTGAACTTCCTGTTAATTATAGACTTCTTAATTACTCATCTTTTCACGTTCCTTGACTGTATGATCGACATATTATCAGTTCATTGGGGTCAGTGTTTGACTAGTAGTGACCCCAAGAGTCATCAATAGTAAAGAAATCTTAACATCTACTGGTGTACTGGTGTACTGGTGTACTAACCATTGTGCATTTTGTGAATATTCAGAAGATAAAAATAACAAACAGAATGCCATTCCATTATTGTTTTGTTATTTTCTTGTCATCTTAACTCAAAACTCACAGATCTGTATGAATAAATTACCTGACTGTAAAACACTATAAATTAAAAATCGCAATATGTGCATGAATAAGTTACTGATGTTACAAGACAAAAGCATTGGGACTATTCAGTAAATAATGAAAGAATATAGTTTTTTACTAATCAACTAAAAAACATTACACAGGATAATTATTGTAAAAACGATCTTCCATTACAATATTTAGACATTCAGATTTCATGCTGTATAGCTACCACTCAAAGTTACTGAGTCAAAATCAACCGGTTTAGACTTTGGTAATTAAAGATAGTTTTTCATAGAATTTTATCATTATTATTATTATTATTATTATTATTATTATTATTATTATTATTATTATTATTATTATTAGAGTTTAAGATCCACTATGTAATGCAACATCTCTAATATTCAGGGAGACTTACGACGATCCTGAGAACGTGTAGTGCCTCCATATAAACTTGAGTTCGCTCATATTTAATTTGATTAAGCCTTTTCGATTAACTTATGTAACCAAGCTATTCGTATAGCAACAACCCATATGTACCATTGGTATTTTTTATTGTCTGGTTTGTATGAGCTTGTACGACTGAGCATTGCTTACACCCACGCGCTTACTCATCCTATTCACTTTAATACTATCACGATGAATCAGATATCTTCTTATGTATATATCCGAACTTTATAATCTTATTAATTCATTCTCCCATTCACACATTCGCTCGCTAGTGTGCCTGCCTGGTATGTTTGTGGTCTGCTATCGCATTTTGTGGTGTGCCAAATTAAACGTAATTCAACACTTCGAGTTTACCTTCTAATTTATTAACTGTCAGACGCTATTTAGTAACGATTGTCTGGACGAGCTAATTACGAAGCCTAAGAACACGTAGAAATTGGCCACCACAAACGACGACACACATATCTGGTAATAGCAAGAGAAACGAGTATTATATGCCTATTACTCATTCGATACCATCGTTCTTCTAATCCATTTCTCAGTTGTTTGTCGGATGTTGAGCGACCGTGTGTAATTTATGATCTGATGTAATGATCTCCCTAGTGTGTCAGTTGAGTATTCGTTGGGAATGCTTGATCGCTACAGATCTCTTTCTAATTTTTTGATTTATTTATGGAAGTTTGAGTTTGTACCAAAAACCCCTGTTATTACTTTCAGTTTTTGTTTTCCACTTGGAAGGACCTTGAACATCATTGGTCCGTTCCTTCTTTCAACGACGCTTTTTGTATTGTATGTAAAATGCTTGAATTGAGTGCTTGTAGTTTATTCGTTCCGGGCCAATTGTGAATCACATATTTCTTCTGCTTACTTTGGATTTCCCCCTTTGGTAATCTGGGATGGGGCACAAAAGAACAGCTTAGGTTGTCTTATGATCGTGTCACTGGTTATGTCTTCTGTTACCATGTACCAAATTGTATCTAGAAATCTCAAGCGTAACACTATCCAGTCAAACTATAAGCTTAACTTAACGATTGTGTTAAATCGTACAATTTGTTATCAAGTGCAAAATATAGGAAATTCAGGCTTTCAAATATAATAATGAAAACAGGTAACTGATTAATTTCACTCTCAAGAATCAATAGGCAGGTTTAGAAAATCCGCACGTACAAATAAAAAGTAATTTCTAGTGAAACTTTCCAAGTCTATATTCTTCAGGTGTAAGTTTATCTAGTTAATAAATTATTCAATGCTACAAACCTATTAGAGCATTTTCGTGTACGATAGCGTGTACCAATCCCATCGGTTTGTGAACAAGCTGACCAGGATGTATACTGATGTGATCTTTGATTGATTTCGAATTCCAGAGATTTCGAATCGATGCATTCACCACGAAAGCATTCCTAGATGGAGAAAATAATCTTGAAGCTGATCACACTGATATTGATTGTACAAAGCTTTTATTGTCTATCAGATGACGTCACTTCTAAACTTCACTTCTGATCCGTTCAACGAATTAAATTCAGAACTCAGTATTATTCAAGACTGGTTTGTTTCTCGTATTGATTGACAGTCAAAAGTGATAAGAACGTTGAGGTGAATTGTGATCGATGAACGAACACACTAATAATGTTATTAAACATTGACCAGTGATTTACTTTGAAACTTGTATGCATTGTTTACTCGGCAATTGAGAATTTGTAAACACTAAGTTAATACTAAGTTAACACCATTGATCTACAAGTTAAGTGCCCAAAATTAAAAATGAAGGTTGTGCTTTCAGTCCCAGCGTGCAGGATCTTAGACACACAAATAAGAAGTCCCGTGTTAAGACCAAGCGGCTGTTCAGTGATTCAAGGTATGAAAATCCCACAATTACAATCAACCCTCGATACTGATGATATCATGTTTCGTTAACTGACTCTTTATATCCGGTTACAGACCAGTATGTACCTCCTCTTTTTCCTTTAACTGACCTTATAGATTCTTCATTGTTCTAAATGTATGAATTTATGTTTTAGAAGCATATAAACTTATCCGAAACAAACAGGCTAATTTATTTTCGACGTTGGCTACTCCAACAATTCAAGCGCTAATTTACAGAATTTAAACTGTCGGTCAGAAGAACGACTAGCAATTGGAAACAACCGGAAGGAAGAACCGAGGACAGGATTGGTTGGAGATTTCTGATGGGTGGTCAATGCACCACGAGTGATGATTGGCGTAAGTAAAGTAAGTAATTATATTACAATTATTTACAGCCAGTCGAATAATTTATACAAAAAGCGAAATGTACACTTGCAGATATATGAACAAACATTTTGAAATACACATCAACCAATCATTTATTTTTAAATGTTTATCGTTATTCCCTTAAATTTTTATGAATAAAAGGGTCAGGAATTCCAATCCTTACTGTATTAATGTCGGTCGTACTTTGATATCAAGATATTTTCATGTGAATTCTAAGACAATTTCGACTTTAAATTTTTCAGACAAGTTTACTGAACAAAACTTCAGGATTATTTAAATTTCAGTCGCTATGATTATTTTCAAATATACAATTTCACAAATAAATGTCTATGCTCTCTAGGTATTCGGATGAATCGAATTCACTTGAAACTGCAAGTGAAGAAATTTGACTAATTCACACAGAGAACGTAGTACCATTAGATTAAATTTTGTTTAAGGTTTGAATGCTTAGTATTAGGAGGTAGGAACAGTATCGATAAGCCTGTTATATAGAACCAAAAGGGACAAAATTGAGCGGTTCATATCTTGAACACCATTACTTTTATTCTACGGTAGCAAAATCTAGCTTTTCACTATTATTTTAAGCGTTTTCAGTAGGATACGAAGGTATTTCTACTGTTCGTTTGTCACGACATTTGGATTTATTGTAAGCTCCTAGAGGCTGTATCCTTGGCTTTGATAAGTTCACCCATAAAAGACACTTTCAACACATTCTCTTGTGGGCTAATGTCGAAAGCATTACAGAATCAGTGGCAATATATGTTTGGTCGATTAAATAGTTACAGCACACTGTGTGAATTCACACCGAATTCATTTAACAGATACTCAGAAATGTATAACCGTGTAAAAGATTTGTCAAAGTTAATTAAGTGGCGGAAAACAAAATATTATCTTTGGAACTAATCAGAAAGAAACTTGACTTATAACAAACACAATCACTAATTATCTTACTTTTTTCTTACCACATGGTGTACCGTCTAAAAGACCATGATTTAACATTTTATCGCAGTGATCTTTTGAACCACTTATTGAACACCATAACTCTTGACAGGCAAATTCATCAACCTATTTAATTAATACAAATGAAAATGAAGTTATAATGTGTAGTTGGTAAGTTAGCATCTTAATTAAACAAAACAAATCTTAAGACAGACAGATGACTGATGATATTTGTGTTAATCGTAATTCTTGAACCAAGAAGAAAAATATATCCCAGCATTTACGTAGTCAAATGATGCGAACTTATATCTTCAATTAGACAATAACTAACTCGATTCTTATATTGTCTCGAAGTATTTACACAACAAGATTGATTCATAATTCGTCGACCATACTTCTATATTCATATGGTTATTTTTATCAGTCACAGCTTATATTGCTTTCGAAGGTGTTGTAATGTGATTTACATAAATTGTATTGACCGGTAAAAACAGAAATGAAATTCAACTATGTATCATCGTATCAACTAATCTACACCTTATGCACAATCAATTATCGACTGTTAACCTGAACTATGTTGATGCCTGTAGAAAGTTCCGTTAGACATCCATGAGATAATCATCCTAGCCCAAATGTCCTTGTCTGAGTCTACAGAAGAGTAGTATTCGTATCTATGATCTATGTACTTTATAGTTCTGCTTAACAACAAAACGTTCATACACTTTTCAATCTTTTCATTCGTACAGTGGGTTCCGTGCACTGTAAAAAGTGATTATCGTAACTGGACAGAATGACAGAACACAACGCGTACAATGGTAAAAAATGTGTGACAATAAAGTAGTGGTCAGCCTATTTTCTATAACCTCTAAATATTCATACTTATTTTACTATTATGTAAGGTGGTGGTTGGGCTTAGTCAGAAAGAAATCCTAGAGAAAAGTTTCGTATTATTTGGCACCCGACAGCAATATATGCCTGTAATCTTGAGAGAACTGATGGTCTCTGAAAAATCCTATCCCGTGTGATCTAGCTTCACTGCCAGAGATATTACAACTGAGCTATCTGGGCCACGGATAACCACTCGTAGTACTGAGATGTATTTTGAATTGATCGTATGCTGGCTAGTGATCAAATTCACGTGTGTCAGGTTCTTTTTAGTGCTAATCGAATTCTATCAACAAAATACACAGGATATTGTGTCATCTAGATTAATGGACATAGTGCGACTTGATCGATAGAATCCAATTAGCACTAAGAAGGACCTGAAACTGTCCAACCAATTGTTAGTACTATTTTTCACGTTTCTAGCAAACTTACTCCAGGACAGTGTTGACTTATATTAGATCCAGATATAACAAAACATTGTTGGTCAAGTGACCATTGCCAACCAGGTAAATTAAAACTCAGATATTCCTGTTTAAATATTGGAAAATCTTGAAGACAAGTGAATTTCTGTGTTCTGAAAATAAAAGGGAGAGGAATAAATAAAAACCACTGAAATGCCGTAAAACTAGAAAGTTTTATTAATACGCTGTAATTAAGTGTTGACTAGATAAATTTAGTATTACTGTAGTTAAGGGAGTTTGTTGATATTATTCCGTTTCAGAGTTTAAATTACAAACCGATACATTGGTCAAACAAGTTTTTAACGTATAATGGATAATTTTTGTGATGATCATTTATCCTGTATCATTCGTAGAACACCATAACATAATAAAACAAAACCGACAATATTTGTATAAGCTGCCTGATTGTAATTCCAAAAAATGATCACTACGAATTACTTAATCTGGGGAACCGCTGATTCCTATCACAGTCCGCAAGTTATTCACCCGTCGAAGTGAAAACTAGTGGTTGATATTTCTCTGCATTAGTAAGTTTATAGTGTAAAAATGAAATTCGAAGAGATTAAGGTAACAATTGTGAGAATTTATTCTTCATCTTTAACTTATTATGCATATTATCCAGCATAAAATACAAATAAATATTCTGTCATGGTTTATTACTTCCGTTTGTTTAGACTAGTGCATTAAGTCGCTTTATATTTTCATTGTTTTGATAAACTAAAGAAGACAATCAGGCCAGGTCAAATTCTATCTTATCTGACAGAATTGTATGGGATGTCTGAATAAAGATTAGTTCAGTTTTATAACCATGGTCTGGATTGTTCAAAGGTTATCGCTTACATGTTAGTTAACTTTGTTATTCTGGTTACCAGTACCTGTTAGTATTATTATTCGGCAGAAAGTATTTCCCATCCTCTTTGAATCTCATCCAGACATAACGTTAAGGTGTCCTAATTTTCCTTATTGTGTTCTAGTCGCACTACTGCCCTGATGTAAGCAACCTTTGGTCCAAAACTTTCACTAACGAAAGGAAAACTTAACATTTACTGCACCAAATCCCTCGAACTAATTAAATTTATTGATTTTTCAATACTAAATGCATAATATTTTAACAAGAACTTACTCAAGACCTTTTTGAAGTACTAGGCGTGTACAGTCACTCCAATGATGGTTATGGCCTGCAGATAAAATTAATGGTGCCATAATATTTCCTGTGGATCCTGAACGGTCGCAACTATTTCCTTCACCATCATGTTCAACACCAAGGCTGAAAGAAACAGTTTCAAACAAACAAATATTCTGTGTAAGTTGAATGTTCAATAATCCATTTCCTTAAATTTTAAGATGACGTTCAGTGTATTACATTAAGTGTTAAACTGTATCATTTGATGGATTTTGTTTGCTGGTTACTTTTATTCAATCACAAGTTAGCTGATGTTTACTTCATGCGTCAAAATCGATGATCCCGGCGGTATTCTTATCCACTCTCAGCCGCTAATTAGGACGCATGAGAATCCATGAAAATTTTCATATAATTCAGACCATAGGTCATTTACATTCAGGAAATACGAAATCATTGCCTCAAGAATTGTCAGGGTACATCATTGATTGCACAGAGAACACCATTCAAATTTCTACATTTTTACTTCTTTTTGCTATGTCAACCTACACTCACTTCAAACCCACCATAGCAGATAATAGCGTAAACAATTTTGGTGAGTTAATCCATTATAAAACTTATCAAGTATTTCCTTGTCTCGTTAGAAGATACTCATAGGATTCAATTTATTTGCACATATATTATTCGATTACTTTGTAGAAAATACTGCCGAGTTACAATCTTCTCTAAACTATAGTAGATAAGATTACACCATGATTGTTAATACTTGATCTATTTTGAACGGCTATGATAGAGGAATAAATTAGTATTAACAGTCAAAATTATAAGGTGAATTCAATATTCACTGATAGATGGTTAAATAAAAAATAAGTCTTAATGAAATTAAAAAAGTTAACTAAAGGTATAACCAACCCCAGTGTTTATTCCTTCAAGCATTGATTTAATTCTATATATATAAATTTACAACATAGTTGCTACTCAAGTGATTTGACATTGAGTGACACTGTTTGAGATATTAGGTGGTTAGAAGTAGTGGATGGGAAATTCTGGACATCGGTTTTATGCTAGTTGGCATTTATCATTAAGGCATATTAAGAGAAGTGATACTCTTTATGGGACTGGAATCCATACAAAACAACTTTAAAGTCAGAGATGTTATTACTCAGCCATTCAAACTGTGGATGACCCCAATAGTTACTAAATAGTGTCAAAATTGTGACTTAATCAACAGAATTCAATCAGTAATAGGTAAATATGACATTGACCATTTCTCAATGACTAGTCAATCTCAAATAATTCAGAATTACAAGAGGTCAATCACGGTTCAAACATCTTCACATTGAGATGGATGACATTGGTCTGGATTCTACTGAGAGTTTCATCTCCCTCAAATCGACAGGTTCACCTAGCTAATTAGTAACAACTAACATGAAATCTAGTTCTAAAAATGTACATCTTTTCTACACCAATGTCGGGGATTGAGGCATAAACTCTAACCAATATTCAGCAAAAAGAATTATGTAAATAAAAGGGTTTATGGAGATTGTTGAATCATATTTAGATCAAAAAACGATCTAAGTTAGGCAGTCTCTGAGAACCTAGAAGCACTAGATATGTGTGTCGTCATATTATAGGGATCCTCAGAAGTGCTCATCCACAATCCCACTACCCGGTATCAAACTCAAGTCTTCCAGTGACAGGAATATAGAAATTTTGAAATTAAACTTCTGAAAACAAATGTTTCGGTCAGATTTTTTCAAACCAAAGTTACCTATGCATAATTTCATGTGCAATAGGATAAGCTGAGAAAAATCCACTATCCTCTGCTAATGTACAGGAATATTGCATACGACACATTTGACTTAGTGGAGATATACCTAAAGAAAAAAGAATCAATGTGTAATATGGTTTATAAATATTTGATGAAATGCGTAACACAGTGAGAATTCAAACTCATTTGCATCCAAATAGATTCTTTTCTGGAAGTATATTTCATCGTCGAAATATTGATTGAATTATAAGCTGATCTGCAGTTAGATTTTTTAGCGGTTATACTTCAGTATACCTAAAGTACTTCTCTGTTTATATATAATATTAATTATTTAATATACTTGTTGTGATTATCTCCAATACTGGAGTCAAATGATTTGGATAAAATGAATCAACTGTCTTAACTCAGTCTAGCGAAAGTTTATACCAAGATTATTATTATTATAATAATTATTATTATTAGTAGTAGTAGTAGAGGTACTGGTAGTAGTGGTAGTAGTAATAATAATCATAGTATTCTTAGGCAGCATGCTTGAGTATTTCGACTACCTATTTACCAACATCAAGACATATCAACAAGTTACCTCTTTCTGTTTGTTTTAATACAATAATTATATCTACTGATTGGATAGTTTACACAGGGGCGTATGTAAATAGTTTACTAGCTGTTGCTTCACAGGGTAGAAAAATGTGTAATTCGAAGCATCGAGGTGACTAGCAACCTGTTGACAAAGGTATAAACGTCAATGAGATACTGATTCTTGAATTGCTTACTTCCAACTGTCAGTCACTAATTGTTTTGTAAAAAGAAACTTGTTGAAATGATCTGTACTAAAGAATGTACATTGTACTAAACACCCAATATTGAATAAAAGCATTATTATTATTGTTATTATTACCATAAAGGGTACTTGTTGTCACGTCAGAATCCACTATGTGTCATATTACAGACATTCATTATCAAAGGATTCCAGTATGCACTTTTCCGGTTTCTTTGTTTGGTTTATATGAAGAGCTAAAAATACTTGTGCATCATATACTTCTGAAATAACGTGTCTTTACACACTACTTTATTTCTATGCATTGGAAATACTTCCAATTACTATATGAAGAGACTTGCAAACAATATAAGACTTCAACCAATTAGTTTAATAGTAAATTATCGATTGTCATTATATTCATGTGTTTATTGAATGCAGTGCAGTATTGGAAAATGTGGAAATAATTGTTGAGGTAGTTCTCAACAGCTTCCGTATGCTCACAAGAAGCCGAAGAGATTCTACCCGGTCACAGCCCAATATAATTTCTATACTACTGACGTAGCATAAGATGACGGAACAATTGTGTAACTCGCTTTCTGCTGATTAGACGATTATGACGATGTTTCCAGTCGCCATAAAATAATACTATAAATACACATGGTTTCATTATGTATTTCAACACTTACTGGAGGAAACATTTCTTCTGTTTTATCCCGACCTTTGATTTTCTACCTGGGGTACAATTGTGCTTATTCCAGTGCCAAGTGTCATTATATTCGTATGAGCCGTATCTAGTAACAGACCTAACTATATTTAACAACTAGCTCTTCTAGCTAAATTGAACAAATTTACATCCGGTTACTCAAACTTTATAATTTTTAATCTTACTGAAAGAATTTTTTTTTAAATTTATAAACCGTATGCATAAAAATTCAAAGTCATTAAAAAAAGTTGTTAATCATCGCCTAAGCAGCATTATACTGCTTGATGAACACCCGTAACTTCAATAATGTACATGAAAAACAAATTTTAAACTTAGAGAATAAGCTGAAGTGATTAAACATCCAAGAGATAAGTGTAGTTTATACTAATATGCTCAGCTCAAATGACTTGTCCCAAACTTTGAACTAATCAATTAACCCGTTCTTCTTCAATTATTCACACGTCTTTTAGCCTTGTCAATGAGTTAGTTTCGCCTGTTACCCCCAATGGAGCATAGGCCGCCCACCAGTTTTCTCCAACCAACTCTGTCCTGGGCTTCCCTCTCCAGTTCTGTCCAATGTTTGTTCATTCCTCTCATATCTTTCTCTATTTCTCGGCGTAGTGTGTTCCTTGGCCTTCCTCTTTTCCTTTTGCCTTGAGGGTTCCATGTGAGGGCTTGTCTAGTGACGCAGTTGGGTGCTTTTCGTAGTGTATGTCCTATCCATTTCCACCGCTTCTTCCTGATTTCCTCCTCCATTGGAATCTGACTTGTTCTCTCCCACAGTTCGTTGTTGCTGATCGTGTCTGGTCAGCGAATAGGAAGTATTTTGCGTAGACAACAATTAATAAACACTTGTATCCTCTGGATGATGGCTTTCGTTATTCTCCATGTTTCCGCTCCATACAGTAGAACTGTCTTGACATTTGTATTGAAGATCCTGATTTTGGTTTTGTTTGAAAGTTGTTTGGAGTTCCAGATATTTTTCAACTGTAGAAATGCAGCCCTTGCTTTGCCAATCCGCGCCCTCACATCTGCGTCCGATCCACCTTTCTCGTCGATGATGCTGCCAAGATATGTGAAGGTGTTAACGTCCTCCAAGGTATCTCCATCAAGCGTGATTCGGTTGGTGCATGTTGTGTTGCATCGGAGAATTTTGCTTTTTCCTTTATGTTGAGACCTGCTGCTGCAGAGGCTGCTGCTACACTGGTCGTCTTCTCTTGCATTTGTTGTTGAGTGTGCGATAGAAGAGCCAAGTCATCTGCGAAGTCCAGATCGTCCAGCTGCGTCCTAACTGTCCAGTTGATACCGTGCTTCCCTCCAGATGTTGACGTCTTCATAATCCAGTCGATGACCAGGAGAAAGAGAAAGGGTGAGAGTAAGCAACCTTGCCTGACACCGGTCTTCACCTCAAAAGAGTCTGTCAGCTGACCTCCGTGTACGATTTTGCAGTTGAATCCATCATAAGAATTCCGTATGATGTTGACTATTTTCTCAGGCACACCGTAGTGTCGAAGAAGCCTCCACAGTGTTTTCCTATCCACGCTATCGAATGCTTTCTCGTAGTCGATGAAGTTGATGTAGAGTGGTGAGTTCCATTCAATTGATTGTTCCACAATGATCCGTAATGTAGCAATTTGGTCAGTACACGATCGATCCTTACGAAATCCAGCCTGTTGATCTCGAAGTTGGGCGTCTACGAAGTCCTTCATTCTGTTTAAAGATACCCTGTTGAAGACTTTGCCTGGTATTGAAAGAAGAGTGATGCCTCTGTAGTTCTCACACTTGCTGAGATCGCCTCTCATTGGTATCTTGATCAGGTATCCTTCTTTCCAATCTGATGGTACTTGTTCCTCATCCCAAATCTTCTTGAAGAGAATGTTAACTATTTTCGCAGTTGCTTCCACATCTGCTTTCATTGCCTCTGCTGGAATGTTGTCTGGTCCTGCTGCTTTGCCGCTCTTGATTTGTCTGATGGCTATACTGATCTCCTCAATCGTAGGTGCGCCAATATTAATTGGGAGGTCCGTGGATGCTGCTTCGATGTTGGGTGGGTTCAGTGGAGCTGGTCGATTCAATAGTTCCTTAAAGTGCTCCACCCACCTATTTCGCTGTTCGTCAGTGTTGCTGATTACTTTGCCTTCCTTGCTTTTCACTGGTCGTTCTGGTTTACGATAGTTTCCGGCGAGCTTCTTTGTAGTTTCGTACAATTGTCTCAAGTTTCCTTCTCTTGCAGCCTTTTCCGCCGTCATTGCTAGATCTTCCACATATTTTCGTTTGTCAGCTCTGATGCTCTTCTTCACTTCCCTGTTTGCTTCTGTATACTCGGCTTGCGCCTTAACTTTCTCTGCTCTTGTTCGGCAGACATTGATAGCTGCCTTCTTGTTCCTCCTTTCTTCAATTTTTTCAAGAGTACCAACAGAGATCCATTCCTTGTGATGGTGCTTCTTGCGACCAAGGACCTCCTGACATGTTGAAGTGATTGCCTCCTTAACCCCTTTCCAATTGTTCTCCAATGTCGCTTCCTCTCCATTGAGTAGATCCTGAAAGGCCTGGAACCTATTGGTGAGGGCTATCTTGAATTCGTTGAGTTTTACGGTATCCCGAAGAAAGGCCGTATTAAACTTCTGTGGTGTTGTCTGCCCCGCTGTCCAGTGCTTCTTTAGCTTCAATCTCATTTTGGCGATCAGCAAATGGTGATCTGAAGCTATATCAGCTCCTCTCTTGGTTCTCAGATCCTCCATGGTCCTTCTGAACGTTTTGTTGATATGGATATGGTCAATTTGGTTTTGAGTAGTGTGGTCCGGTGAAATCCATGTGGCTTTGTGAATGCGTTTGTGCGGGAATATTGTGCCACCGATGATCAGTTTGTTGAAGGCACATATGTTTGCAAATCTCTCACCGTTTTCGTTCGTTTCTCCCAGTCCATGTCGTTCCATGATGTCTTCATATCCAGTGCTGTCCATTCCAACCTTGGCATTCAGGTCTCCCATAAGAATCTTCAAATACTTCTATGAACCTTTCTCGACGATTGACTGCAGCCTTTCGTAGAATTGATCTTTAACGTCGTCATTGTAGTCATTGGTAGGTGCATAACATTGGATGACGTTCATTGTAATGTCCTCTTTCTTTGTTTTGAAGGATGCTTTAATGATCCTGGGTCCATGAGATTCCCATCCTATCAGTGCCTTTTGTGCATGTTTGGACAGCATCAGTGCAACTCCTTGTGTATGTGAAGCGTTCTCCTCTTCATGACCAGAGTATAACAGCAGTTCCCCTGAAGCAAGTCTCAGTTGTCCTACCTGTGTCCAATGTGTTTCACTGATGCCGAGCACCTCGAGGTTGTATCTTTTCATTTCTGCTGTAACTTGAAATATTCTTCCAGTCTCCCACAATGTACGAACGTTCCATGTACCTAAAAAACTGGTTGCTCTGGTTGTCAGAAGAGGCATCAGCTTCGTGACCTGCGAGGGAACTCGGCTTTCATCATGCGACGTCATAATTCTTCTTCCAACTCCCAGGGCAGAGTTAACATGGTTTGAATTATTTTTTCTGGTTAGCGTTTTTTTGGCAATTGAGATTTCAACGGAATGGGGCCGCCAACCCCATGTCCAACCCTCCTCCTTTATCCGGGCTTGGGACCGGCAGTAGCCCCTAAGGTTCTACTGGCGGAGTTAGCCTTGTCAATGATTCACCTATTTTCAGGGTTTGTGTTTTTGCGCGTATGTGTATTGCTTACTTTGTTTATCAAATGTCTAGCTTATTTTTATCTGACTACAAGTAGCTAGTCATGCTATGCTCAGTCACATTGATTTGGTTCTCACTTGAATTCGTCAGTTTACTTTAATTTGCTTTTTGTATTTCACTTATTTCTGAGTGAACAATTACATGAATTTAAATCAACCAACCAACTGAATTGGTTTTTTGTATTCTGATTACCGTCATCAGACAAACAGGATTAAGTGAAAGTATGATCATACGGAAATCGAAAGGAAGATTTGTTGCCAAGAATATTTATTCGTTCGCTCAAATTGGAATCAGATTCAGATTCTGGGCCGCTAAATAAGTCTTAACATATAGACAATTTTTATTCGTGGTTACGTTTAGTGTATATTTTGTAAGAGGGATTTTTTTATCAGAAAAAACATCATTGTATCACACCAACAAGACAAGTTATCAGTAGTTCAAAGAATTTTATTTTGTAATATTTCTGAAAAGCTATCAATATTGTAGTATCGGTAATTAACTACAAACTGTGAAACCATACATTCGAATCTTATTTGCATATTTTGATTTCGGTAAATCTGGTTGAATAAAAACATCTACATCTTTTGTTAATTAACTTAGGTCAACTAGGGCGTGCCTGTAGTCTTAGGACAACTCGTGCCCTCTTCCAAGCATAGACCATTCAGTTTCAAAAGTTATCACTGAACCATCGAAACTACATCTGACCTTCAGTAGTACTAAGGAAGTTGCAATTAGTCGATCACTGTTTAGTAACCAATCACTCTTTAACAAGCGTGTCTTGTACTAACATTTGAAGAAATATATTCATTTTTATAATCGTTTAACATATCAATTAACAATGAGATTGTCATAAACTTGACGAAAATATGATGAGATTAATTTACATACCAGCTGCTTGTACAATATTTCTTGATAAAAATAATGCATGATCGTAATTATAACGAACATAATGATGAGTTAAAGCCCAATTACAGAATCTGTGAACGGAACGAATTAAAGATACACCCCATAGAAGTTCGTTTGACTAGAAATTTTAAAAGAAAATTTGATCATAAGTAAATTATTAAAATTATTTAAAAATTTTTTTAAATTCTAAATTTATTTTAAGTAGAGTGTAGGATTTAATTTGTCCTACAGATGAACTTCTAAAATTATAAACGCGAGCACAGAGTCTATGGGAAAGCTATAGTTAGAAGAAGACCAATTTTGCTTTAAACTTTATCTGTTTCTAAACATAAAAATAATTAAATTAGTACAATAAATAAGGAAATTACAATTATCAAGTAAGACGAGCAGACACACCGTGTCTTTAGAAATGAATAAAGCTATGAGTCACATCAATAAGATAAAAATGACTTTTGATTAGTAGGCCATTTACTACAAAAAAGGTTTACAGGCACGTCAGACCAGATCACTTGGTGAGAGCTTAAACCACAATCTGATTGGTTAATTATCACATAACTACAATTAGTTATAAAAATAACTAACATAGAGAATCAGTAATATATCACTTCATTCGTTATCCATCGGAATTTCCTATGAGATCGAACTTATCGCCTTCAATCGATTGATGAATAAGCCTAAAAATAGTGTTCCAAATTTAAAAGCCTAGTTTAATTAGGAATCTAGACTGGTACAATGCAGGATGAATGTCCACTGACGATTCAATAATGAGAATATGAAATTTCCAGCCTTAAGTGGTTTCTCAACTGATTTCAGTGTTTATAATGTTTTGAGATAAGCAATTCACTTTTCACATTTGAATATGTTCAACTTTCATGTATGTATAAACTATTAATCAGCAAGATACTACCATAATTATACCTCTACTTAGTCCAATCAGGACAACACCATTCAGTATATGCATCTTTCCATTCAACTGGTATTAAGTAAGGAACTTTCAACTCGAGAAATTCTACTCATTCAGATTCAACAATATACTTTGTGCGCAAAGTATAAAATATGCTTAGTAATTAATGAACACTCAGCTTAGTCTCGGCAGAATTAATTTTCACATCGGACAAATATCAGCTACAGAACTATTAGAAAAAACCAAATAGTTTGATCTGTGGTTTAATACGTTTCCCTCAATATCTCAAATACACACTATGAAAGATTGGGACAGTTAAAGAAAACGAGTACAATAACAAATGTTTATTTGTCACCAATCACGTTTTCTTCGTGGAAGTGTTCCACTACACTACTTTGATATCATCAGTAAAGTTACACACATTCTAAACGATTCTCCGAACCATGTCATTCATAATACCCAGAAAGATATTACGCATGCAACGGGAGAGTGCTTTTGATCAACTATATTGGAACCTAATACTGTATTTTGGTAAGTTCTTTCCTCATCTGTTTTTTTCAGTCCCCGCCTTCATATACATTTATTTCTATTCTATAATATTTCGATGTCGTTTTGGATGATTTGGTGTCAAATGCTTTTGATCAGAGCCGATTTAAGACACTTTTCAATAGATTGATATTTCTATTGGTCATAAATGAATATAAAATTTCAGTTTTAATTGAATTATATTTTTGTGGAAAATATCTCTTCCTCATACAATCGTCATTAGTTCGTTTTCTTCAATTCTTTTAAATTATTCATTAATAATAAAACTTTATTTTACAAAATAAAAAATTTAATCAACTTACTTCTGCTTCACTGACCCATATTATATCTTGTATAACCAGACTCATATTCACACCTAAAGATGGATGATGAAATAATTCACTAGTCTAAAATTAAGGAGAAAAAAGTATGAAATTAAAATAGGTCCCTTGTTAAAGTTTCAGTGAATCAGTTCTGAAGTTACTCGTCACGTTTTCAAACTCAACATGTGTGTGTGGTATTTCGTACTTGTAGGCATTTTTCAGCCCATTTAATGTATGAATGCTACATGTTGCAGTGCGATTATCTTTGAATTGTTAAATCTGAGCATCTATAGTTTTATCCACAGCTGACTTTGTGGGTACGTTTCTGTATTGCTGTTCAGCAAGGAAGTTGAAACTACTAGTATATTAAAAACTAAAGGCCGACATGAAACTTTGCATACAATATCCACTTGTTGTCTGTACAGAAAATGAACGAAAGCATCGAACAATAGACGTCAATGCTAAAATTACGTAAAATGATATTTTCAATTCATTATCTTCTCCATTTCCGATGTTACATACAACGGAATAAAAATCCAGTGAAGAAGATTTCATTCTCAACACAATCTATGTAGAATAATGCACGAAATTATAGTTTGTTTTAGCTTTACACATTGACCGAACTTGATTATATATATGTATATATATATATATATATATATATATATATATATATATATATATATATATATATATATATATATATAGTGCATTTTACGCACTACATTGTATGAAACGAAAATGCATTCTAATTGTAGATGTTGAAACCAGGTAACTTTACATCAGCCAGAGACAGGTGATCGTTATATTGGATTATTCAGTAACGATTTTGATAAAAAAGTATTCGAAATTTTTCATTCGTAATAGAATTTATCTTTTAAACACAACAGAGAAAGTCGCACTATTTACATAAGAGTAATGTTCTACTACCTTCTTCATTCGGCAAGATATTACCTGCTAACGGCCATTTTGGGAGATCAAATCTGGATTTATGCTTACAAATAGGGCAAACTTTTTCATGACAAAAATAGCAATAAAGAGATTAGAGAGTTAGTTTTAGGATTGTATAATCCAACACAACCTACATAATAGTCTGTAGTAACATTTTTCTGCATATAATTGGAAATCTCATATAAATACATTTCAAGCATTACTTGCCTATCAGTAGAATATATATGGCACCACTGGGTGTTGATTAAATTCTCTCGAGCAATCTGTAATCTAGCCTAGTCGAACTGACTCAACAACGTGAGATGTTAGAGGGTTGGACATAGTTGGCATCTGTTAGCGAGATGTAATTTCAATCTTGAGGGGAATAGTGTTCTTTATGGGATTCGAACACAAGTTATGCAAATTTAAAGTCTGAAAATTGATCTCGCAGCTGTTAAAATCACGAGTGACATACGGTAAATTACAACACCCTTGCACAATTTACATAATATCACGTCTCTTAGACGATCAGGCATACTGCGACCTGATAGATGACACTCATCACTTGATTCCTCAAACATACAAGATATTGTCGATCACAATAATCAATCTCTTGTACAACACCTTAGTCCTCAGGGTGGTCAATAGACGTTCTAATAGCCCTCAGTTCCGAGACCACCACCCCCCTAAAAACAACGGTTACATTTTGGAACAAGTGACAACCAGTACGAATCCTAGATCGTGATTTTTTTCCGAATACCTCGATCTGCTTAACAGATATCGAAATTCGCAAAAACTTATATTTCATGTAATTCTTCGAATATCTCTTTTCATAAGTGATTCGAAGATTTTGCAAATGAGGAAATTTCGGCGAGAACTAATCTGTAGTTTTGGTCGGTACACCATTTGCCATTCAAATCGATGATAATCCTTGAGTTTCAATACGATCGTTCCAATGTTTTTACGTGAAGCAGTTATCTTTGATGTCGAACAGTTGTAATGTATGATCATTACCATATGCTTTTATAAGTATCATCTATTAATTTGTAGCCTGTTAAGATGAAATATTTTCACATTAGATATGAAATATGCTTATATAGTTGTTGTAACTTGAGACAGAAAAATCCCCTCACCAATCATCATATTCTCTTCTTTTCCTAATATGAAGTGCCGTTGTGTGTTAACTGTCAATCGATCTAATCAAGTTAGATCCAGTCTCGTATTGGACTAGTCTCTTCAACATAGATCGAAATTATTTAAAAACTATCGCACACTACTGTCAAGTCAATGATAGAACTCCTTGTGGTATAAATTATTACCCTACTTATCAGTGAAAACACACAATTTAATAACTACTTCAAGGGACCAAAATCAATATGCTCCGCACCAATCTTTCTACAGCCATAAAATAATGTCACAAATTGTCTGTTACAAGAAATCCTTGATCATTAGATATCGAACCCGACTGTTTTTGTCAAAATGTGAAACATTCCAATATTACCATTTGAAATTAAAATGAAATCGATTCGGATAACAGAAAATATTGATTGATTAATGATAAACTAGGTCAGCTGCACAAAACATCATTGTTTATTATGTATAGAAAAGCTCGATTTAATATGTTCGAATTAAATGTTTGTTCACCATGAAATTACCAAACAATGATTGTACACTAATTAGTTAACTACTTTCGAGATGAACGCTTTGAATCCCTACAGACAAAAACCATGATCTTTTAGGACTGTCAAGACGGGTGTTGTGCAATAACTTACTGATCATATTATATTTGGTTCATGCAACATTATATTCGATTGGCTCCAATGAAAGTAGGCTATTTCACTCTCAACAAGTTATCTAAAAATATTATGCCCACTATTAGATCTGGATGTTTAAACCTTACTCCTTTGTTGGGTCGTGGATACAGGTTCTTGAAAAGTCCAAATCAAGAAAGAAACTGACTTCTAGTGACACTCAATATTCTTACTACTTCAGTCATACATTTTAATTTCTGAGAAAAAGTAAATTTTTTATAGATAGTGATCAATCTCTATGAGCGGCCTCAAATGAGTGTAGTAAATACATAAGATGGTTTCATTGAAAATCTGTTAGAAACGAACCACTGACCAACGACAGAAACAGTTCCTTGTGCAACTAAAATTTCGAACTAATAGATCCTAGGTTTTTATTTAAGTTCATTATTTGAAAATATATTCCCTTCAATCTTTTTTAATGACGACATGAACTAACCATTCTCATTAACGTTTTCACATAGTTTTCTGCCATTGTTTTGTTCATGAACCGATTTATTACTGTATGATCAGCAAATACCAATGTTTCAATCCAGTAATTTCGTTCCCCTGGAAAATAAAACATCCATAATTCATGTGAGTACCTCTTAAAAACTATTCATGAATTTCTTCTACTAACCTTATTAGTAAGCGAAAAAGTTTTGGAAACACATCAACTGGAAAACCTGTTGTGACAAAATTTAACGCCATATGATGACATGTGAATTTATCAGCTAAACCAGCACTTACACAATGAATCATGGATAGTTCATCGATGATGGGCTACTGCATGTATTTAGATTAATTTAACTGCTCCTGTGACATAAGCAAAACTCGTAATGCTTTATCCACCCACGTTCATGGCTAGAAAAAGGAGTCATGAAATCTATTAACAGCGCCATTCTTTCTCACATCATATTAAAGCAGATGAAACTTTTTCTGTTTTGCATCAGGTTCCAAACAACCTACGGGAAGAAAAAGGTCACAACTCCTCCATTTATCTGAAGTCATCAAAAGAGCTACATCGAGTTTTTGTGTTTATCTTTGTCAACAATTGGATCACTATATACCTAGATTGGACATTGTAAAACCTCTTACTCTCCCCAATTTACTATTATGTTTATATCTACCCTGCTACATCCTTAATGTACTCACCCATCTTTCTCAATTTAAATGAATTTCCGATTACAATTTTATTCACATGATATATTCTAACTACTCAGTCTAAAATTTCGTAAATGACCTTTCTAATAAACAAAGGACACTTTCTTGAAGTATTCATGCTATAACAAATGCAGAATTCATCTTTTTCAACGCATGACTTTGTCCAATTCACGTACGTATGCTTTATCTTGGCCTTTATAACACAACACTATAATTATGGACATAGAACTGTAGAACCTGATGACGAAGTTATTGAAAATAATTGTTCACTCTGCCATTCCTTATTTTTGAATATAGAGTATTCGTGATTTTTCAATTGTCCAGATCTGATGACAGCAATTTTGGCGTGAACCGATATGTGGACAAGGCAAGCACTTTAAAAAATAATATCAAATCCAGATGGAAATGTTGGATTATTCAGTCCATTTAATTTTCAATTCCATATCGATTAATAGTGTTTCGTTGTAGATCATAGTAATGAAAAAAGTAGACATTGAAACAATGTGGTTGAGTATGAACGTGTTTAGAATCGAATTACTTGAACTAAAATCCAACTCTGAAATGCACACTGGAATTTACTATTTGGTATTGCATCATGTTCATAATTGAGCTTTACATCTTATTCATCACCAACTGATAACATTCCTTGAGATCATTCAAAGGTTACGTTTTTCACCAAAGATTCACACTGGAACACCATAGGATCAGTGTTAACTAAACTAGCGGTCAGTTACATCAAAGTTTAAACATATACTATGATAACGTGATCTGACATTTGCATAACCTGTTATTACATACATTGTAATATATCGTATTATTATTTTCATAAGTACTGACAGACTGCAATGAAGGATAACTCATTAAGATACCAAAGAAAAGAGATCTTAACAAATGTAAGAACTACCGATGCATGGCTGTTCTCTAAATACCAGGAAAGATCTTCAACAGAGTATTGTTGAACCGAATGAAGGACTCAGTAGACACCCAACTTCGAGATCAGCAGACTGGATTGCGTAGGAATCATTCATGTACCCACTGATTCGCTATACTAGGGATCATTGTTGAACAATCAATAGGATGAAACTCATCACTAATTATCAAAGCATCTAACAGAGCGAACAGGAGAAACTAGTGGAAGCTTCTTTGACACTACGATGTACCTCAGAAGATAGCATCATACTGACTTCTTATGATGGATTAAACCACAAAGTCATGCATGGAGGACACCTCACAGATTCGTTCTAAGTAAGGACCGGTGTCACACAAGGATGCCAACTCTGAACCTTTCTCGTTCACCTGGTGGTTGACTGGATTAAGATGTCAACACCCAAGGGGAGGCACGGAATACAGTATACAGCTAGGATGCAGCTGGACGATCTGGAGTGAGCAGATGATATGATACAGAGAGAGAGAGAGAGAGGGAGACAAGTATTTGCACACATTATTTGATAGCCAAATAAAATTTCTATTTCACTCTTGCCTTCTCGTTCAAATATTCACTTTGAGAGGTTACCGCATATCACGTTCAGTTCTGGAACACTGCACAGCATAACAATTACTATTATTATTATTATCATCATCATCATTACTAATATTTATAATTTACCATAATCTTACCGTAATTATTCACTTGAGAATCGACTTTCAGTGATACTGGTTTCTTATGCGTTCGCCAACCTGGTAATCTGTCATCTGAAGACAAACGTAGCTCATTTGAATCATGCAAGCATAGAATTGTTACTAACAACAGAAATTTTGTTAATAGTTGATGTACTGGCACTCTCCAAATAACTATATAATACATTGTTAAATCAATGTGAACCATGTTGTCTGATGTAATGAGTAATGCTTTTTGTAATCCAATAATTATCTAATCAGTTTTATCATAAAAATGGAAGACAGAAAATCGTTGATCACAGAGAGAAATTCACATCAGTCATTGAATTCAATTGTAGATAATATTATTGACTATCTAGTGATATTACAAATTTAATTAGTTTAACTTTAATGGTATTGGGTTCGTTTATATGTACAAATGTATATATATATATATATGTAAAATGATTTGTTTATAGTAACTACGTAACTGTCATAGTTGATTTGACCGATATTTTTGTAAATTTCAGTCATCTCAATCAATTCGATTTATTCGATTCACATAGACATGGAATTTAAGTCAATGAGTAATTTATTCTGTGAAACGTTTTTAATTTAATTTCATGAAGGTTGACAAACAGATTAACAGACAATGATATAAACTCATTAAATCAGTGAGGTGATTGATACTGAAAGCCGCTAAACTTTAGAATAGTCCATGGTAAAGTGTTCGTCTCAATAAAAAGCATTAGAAGTTCTCATGTTCAATCTTGTGTTAGATTCGACTCACATTAAGCAGCTGAACAACTGAAGGGATCTGAAAAGTTATTTTGAGGGCTGTTCAAGTTCAGGAATGTCCGTATTTCCGCAGATAAGACCATAAATTAGAGACTTACTCCGAGGCGACTAACACTTCTGATGTTCATCAACATTTCAATAAAACACTGACAAACGCTAGCTCATTTCATATTTCACATAAGCCTGCTGAAATTATAGATAACCAATATAAACTAAATGTCAACGTGGATCGCATGCCTTGTAACTTGAAATCGCCCAATAACGCATTAGAAACACATACTGAGATGTCAACTCTTAACTTATGAGCTTTAAAAAACAATGTTAAACAAAGTGGGAAGAAAGTTTATGCAGAAGTCTCTGGCTCTAAAACCATTAGTAAATCTTCAAACAAACAAAAAACGAAATCCCAAACAACCGGTTTGACACTACTAACAATAGTAGAGATCTTATGGTCACACAGACAAGAACTTGTCATTTTCCATCACTTCATCATGCTCTCTGAACACAGATAAGGTAAATAGCTTGTAAAAATCCCGATTTTGACATCAACGAAATATACTTTATGTAAGTGATATGCTACATATCTACCACAACAGTAATGTTTCAAACATAATGATATACAGATTGAAAGAAGCCCGAATGTTTCATAATTAAACCCGAAAATTTTACGAAAGACATAACTATTGTCATAACTTCCACGTTGTACAAGATGGACTATTAGGTTAGGCACCATATTCTCAACCCCAGCAAGCAGACAACCTTCTTAATTATCCGCCAAATCAACTTCAGCAAATCAATTTACTGAAATATTGTTTTTTCGGCCTACAGAAAACCCTGATCCCTCGTGCACTACACTTCTTCAAACCATAGCCCATAAAACCAGACACTCAAATCAAGCTGGCTGGGACTTCATGCAGACATTATTCACATTCTCTGAATGTAATAACTTCAGCTAAAGTGACTTTCTCGTGGATGCCGTCGACACGTTCTATCAGATCAAAAATTTGTTTTCAGACTCCCGTACACCTCTTACAACGCCCTTGCGAATTATTTTTATCAGTTAAATATTGCAATAAACAGTCATGGAGGAGATAGGATTTCGTCCATTTTCGATAAATATGGTGCGTCTGATACCTCAATATATTTCCTGAAGCAGTTTACGCCCTCTTTCTCCGTCTGGAGACCGGTACTGACCCTAACTAATGGAAAACCACATACATTAGATCAGGCTGTAAACCTTTAGTAAGAATGAGATGAGGAAATTTTATTCCAGTCATGTGTAGGATAGCAGGAAAGTGGATGATACTAAACTTTTCGACTATTTACTTACTGAAAGGGCAAAAGATTTAGCCGTAGACACCAACCTGTTCATATTAGGAAAACTCAGGTGTTATACGCTCAGAAATTCTCTGAATAATGCATTTGAATAATTCCTCAATCCAAGCGGAGGGGAAAAGGCCTGTACGATAAAAGATGCAACTGAATCAGAAAAATAACCTGATAAAACAAACGGTAAAAATAATATAAAAACCCAGACCACGGGCGAAAAAACAACGAAGGTAATTATATTCAAGTAAATAAAATTGTAAAAGAGAAGAGAAATCAAACACAACAGAGAATCAAAATAAACAATTCCAAATAAAATATTTATGCCGAAAGAAGACATAGACAAAACAAACCTCAAACGTCTATCATTGCTCCGAAAACCATAAATCCAATCTAAATATACACACAAATATATCTAGACAAACACCAGTGATGAGTACCTACAACAATCTCAAGTTCACGCTTATCACTGCATTTGTGCACTACTGAAATACCTTGAATTCAGTAGGCACATTGTGTCACGAAGGAAAGTTCCCGTGACCATCAAACTATACATCCGCTTTCATACAACACATTCAATCAAGTAACATACAAATCTACAAATATCCACCATCTCCCTACAAATACATTAACACTCTGATCAGAACAGGTAGTTGATCGATCACATATGTCATGTAAGTGAAAGGGCGTAATATCGAGAGAAAGATGGATTGCAGCTGAACTAGTTGCAAAACATAAGTTACTGTAATGATGATTGTTTTCAATTAAAGTAGAAGTTGCAGTGCTAGTAGTAGTAGTAGTAGTAATAGTAATAATAATTATAATAATCATAATAATAATATTCATATAGCTAGTATTGTTATTGATACGATTATTACTACTTTCCTCATCATATACAATCTATTCTGGATCAAGATGATGACGTTGATGAGAATGAGATTCGATTGCTGGTAAGCAAAATAGTAATTTCACTGCCAACACTACATTGGATACACAAATTACCAATGATTAATTTAGGCAAATGAGAAATATCTCAAACCGATCAATGTGCTTCAACATAACTCTACTTTATCAAGATTTCTGGCTGGTTTCAGTGTACAATAAAATACATCTTCATCCAATCGAACGAATCAGGCAACTCATCTTTAATCTGTAAGCAGAATCCCGAGTTTTTGACAACTTATTATGCTTTCATTGAAATCATGAATCGATCAATGTGACACCATCATTAGAAACCTTGATCGATTCATGATTTCAATGAAATTCAACAATTTCCACAACCCTACAATGAAAACTATTCTGCATTTGAATATTGTGTGTCGAGTTTTACTTGTGAAGTGTATGCGAAATGTTTCATTAACAAATCCGCTTAAAACTTATGAAGATATCATTGGAAATGCTCTGTCTCCACTGGCTATACTGACCAATAAATACACGCATGATGAATCGAGTGAAAATTAAGTCGAATCGAAACAGAGGCATTCTGCCTCGGAATTGAATTTCATAACACTGAAACTCAGTCTGATTACTTTTATGAATAATTTTCAGAGTGAAAACCTGTGAATGAGCAAAGGCACAGCTGGTTAAAGTGGAAATTAGCTGATATTTCCAGTCAGCACGTTGAACACCAGTTCCTCAATCTATGGTGTTAACTAAAGACCACCAAGAAGCATTGGGAAATCTTCTGAAAGAAGAAACAGTGATACTACTTTGACATAATCATGGACAAAGACCAATACATCGGTAAAGTAACACCCATTCTAAACGATTCTCCGAACCATGTCATTCACAATACCCACAAAGATATTACGCATGCAACAGAAAAAAGTGCTTCTATTCAATGTTGAGAAAACGTTTGAAGAATTTACTCAATGATCGTACAACAAACACAAGCGAAAAACAAAGATATTTGCCTTGCTTGCACAGTTTACCTGAAATGCACGAATCAAATATCTCATCGAGGTCAATATTAACTATGACCAACCAGATCACGTTTCATGAACTCGCCTGCACCGATTGGAAAGAAACTGGCATCTTACAAACGAGCAAAAGCATAACGCCTCAAATATCCCTGATAAATTAATAGCATCAACTGACATAGTGCAGTGTGGAGAGCCTGGACCACTCGAATCCACGACTAACTGACTTCCAACAATTAACGGTGTGAGTGGGGATTCAGACGGCTTAGGCTAGTCCGATTGGCCTCACCTGTCGTGCAAGCAGCACGATAAGCCTATCATCATGCTGTCAATGAACCTTCTGTCACCAGAAAGATCGTCAACAAATCCCAGCATCGTCTAACCACTTCACAACCCACCCAAATACACTACATCATGCCACAAGATCATCATTTGCAATCTGCAACGAGACATGCACAAAACACACCTCAAACGTCTATCATTGCTCCGAAAACCATAAATCCAATCTAAATATACACACAAATATATCTAGACAAACACCAGTGATGAGTACCTACAACAATCTCAAGTTCACGCTTATCACTGCATTTGTGCACTACTGAAATACCTTGAATTCAGTAGGCACATTGTGTCACGAAGGAAAGTTGCCGTGACCATCAAACTATACATCCGCTTTCATACAACACATTCAATCAAGTAACATACAAATCTACAAATATCCACCATCTCCCTACAAATACATTAACACTCTGATCAGAACAGGTAGTTGATCGATCACATATGTCATGTAAGTGAAAGGGCGTAATATCGAGAGAAAGATGGATTGCAGCTGAACTAGTTGCAAAACATAAGTTACTGTAATGATGATTGTTTTCAATTAAAGTAGAAGTTGCAGTGCTAGTAGTAGTAGAAGTAGTAGTAGTAGTAATAATAATAATAATAATAATAATATTCATATAGCTAGTATTGTTATTGATACGATTATTACTACTTTCCTCATCATATACAATCTATTCTGGATCAAGATGATGACGTTGATGAGAATGAGATTCGATTGCTGGTAAGCAAAATGGTAATTTCACTGCCAACACTACATTGGATACACAAATTACCAATGATTAATTTAGGCAAATGAGAAATATCTCAAACCGATCAATGTGCTTCAACATAACTCTACTTTATCAAGCTTTCTGGCTGGTTTCAGTGTACAATAAAATACATCTTCATCCAATCGAACGAATCAGGCAACTCATCTTTAATCTGTAAGCAGAATCCCGAGTTTTTGACAACTTATTATGCTTTCATTGAAATCATGAATCGATCAATGTGAGACCATCATTAGAAACCTTGATCGATTCATGATTTCAATGAAATTC